GCGATTGAAGGGGTTGTTGAGCACGGTGTTCCCACTCGTGATCTGGTTCGGATGCATGACCGAGCGCCTTCAGCTAGGTGAGTCCATTAAAACTAATGTGGTCAGCATCCAACGTCGAAAACATACAGAGCTATTTATTTTGGAGATTCATTTACCGCTACAAGACTTCAGCCCCGATAATTTACATGTTTTGATCAGCTAGACATTTTCTGATAAATAAGAATATCAGGATTTAAATTAGAATGTGTTCTCAATTTTCACCCATTTTGCAAAAGACAACTCAGAAGATTGGATTCAAACGGTCAGGCGCTTTCCATACATGGGAAGTGGACCAAGACGTTGGACAAAATTGTGGATCCCAATCTCCCAAGTTTGGGGAATTTCGGGGAAACCTCCAAAGTCTAACGACCTTGACCAAGGTTAAAGGGGAATTTTCGGGAAATAGTTGGAGATTTTCTCAGACCTGGGGAAAATTTGAGGTTTCGGTGCCATTCTCCCGATATTTCCCCAAAGTTCACTATAGCGGCTTCCTCAAAATTCACCGAAAGTTGTTCAAACGTTTCCCAGAATTGGGAGCTCGGGGTGGTCTGCATTATCTGTGTTATTATGATTTACTAGGACGCTTTAAACTATATACAGTTTCAGTTTCAGTTTGGGAAGGACAGGAGGCTCGATGGCCTATGTTAGTCCTGGCAATGGTGGTCTCTCAGTTGATCCAACCTTTTTTTGAAAGAGTCGACGGATGGAGCCTCAACCACGTGCTGAGGTAGTGAATTCCACTCGTTGATGATTCGATGGGAAAGTCGATAGTCAGCTGACAAGTAATTTGTTCTCGGCTTATGAACTTTTTTGGAGTGTCCTCGTAAATTCTCTGTTTTGGAAGACAAGAAAAATGAGGGCATGTTAGGTGCAAATTTATCACTAAGCAATTTGTAGACTGTAATCAAGTCGCCTCTAGTTCTGCGATATGACAACGGGAAAAGGTTCAGCTTGGCCAGTCGAGATTCATACGGAAGCTTCGCTATTGCGGGAACCAGCTTAGTCGCCATTCTCTGAACCTTTTCCAGAAGCTCTCTGTCTTTTTTAAAGCAGGGGCTAGCCGCTTGTATGCAGTACTCAAGTTTAGGACGAACGAACACTGTATACAAAGTCAAAAACGTCTTAGTGTCGACATGACTAAAAGCCCTACGTATTGACCATAACGTTCTAAAACTTTTGGCGGCTATTGCACGGCAGTGTGCAGTAGTCTTTAAGTCTTGACTAACGATAACTCCTAAGTCATTATATGTCTGGACGACAGGTAGCTCAGTGTTATTCATCGTGTATGTATCTGTTCCTTGATGACCGATATGCATCACAACACACTTGGAAGTATTTATCGGCAACTGCCATGTTTGAGACCATTCAGATAACTTCTTCAGGTCATTTTGAAGTTCTAAGCTATCACTCTTACATCGTATCGTTCTCCATATCTTGACATCGTCAGCATATAGCAAGACCGATGATGATAGGAGACAAGGAAGATCATTTACATACAAGAGGAATAGCACTGGCCCCAAAACTGTACCCTAGGGCACTCCACTAAGCACAGTTTCCCAGCTAGATAACTTTGAGTTCACCCTTACTCTTTGTTGACGCCCAACTAAGAAGTCTTTTATCCACATCAATAAATTACCTCCAATCCCGACATGTCTTAACTTATATAACAGCCGGTTGTGCGGAACTTTATCAAAAGCTTTACTGAAATCAATGAAGGCGACGTCTACAGGTAGCTTTTGGTCCTTAAGAGCACACCAGCTTTCACGAGCCACTAATAAGTTAGTGAGACAAGAATAACCTATTCTGAAGCCATGCTGCTTCTCCGAGAGGATCCGGTTTTTATCGAGATACTTAAACAGCTCCTTCCGAATAATCTTTTCTAATATTTTAACAACCACACTAGTTAGGCTAACGGGGCGGTAGTTCTCAGGTTTGTGTTTCGTGCCTGTTTTGAAGACAGGACTTACTATGGCGTTTTTCCAATCTTTCGGTAAGCGACCCTGCGTAACGGATAGGTTAAAGCATGTACTTAAAGGGTTCGCAACGAAGTTAGATAATTCCTTCAGTAGCCTAGGATGTAATTCATCGGGCCCCGTGGATTTACCTACGTCAAGCTTATTTAGCAGACCAAAGACATCGAGTTCTTTAATGGTCACGCTATCCAGTGTATGTATGGGGGGATCTGTATACGCTGACGAGAAGGGCGCTTCTATGGTATACACGTTGCTAAAGTAGTTCGAGAACGCTTGAGCCTTACCAAAGTCGTCCTCCACTAATGATGAAGCAGTACTGTCTCCCCATAGAGCAGGAATATTTCCTTTTCTCCTTGTCCTTTGGTTTATATAGGAATACAAGCGTTTAGGACATTCTATGGATTCCTTAACAAGTTTTTCTTCGTACAATTTTCTAGACTTACGGAGGGTCGAGGCACAAGTGTTCCGAGCCTTTCGATACTGAGATTTTGACTCATCAGTCCCCAGTAACCTAAATCTATCCCACGTTTTCCTTTTCTTACGGAGAAGGATACGGACCTCCCTACTGAACCATGGTGGTGAGTTTTCCGGCCCCTTTGGTATAGTCCAAGGGATGTGAGGTGTGGTAACTTTTAAGTATGATTTTCGAAATGTGTCCCAGGCCGTTTCAATGGAGGACTCTGGGTCTATTGTCCAATCTATTAACGATGATGAGTGCATGATGTCTGGTATGTTTGCTTTCCAGACGTTGGGTCTGGACTGGACTGACGCGTCCTCATGACTGGCAGTTATATGGAAGTCGAAAGTTAAAACTGCGTGGTCACTTTTACCTAAGGGTGGCATATGGTGGAGGTTCGCAACATCATCCTCATAGTGAGTCAGTATAAGATCTAATAAGGATGATTCAGTGTCCGGGTCGTACCTAGTCGCTTCTTTCACATGTTGCACTAGGGCACATGTGATAACCGCATCAACTAGTTCCTGCTCAAAGGAATTTTCTGACGATTCAGTTCGCAGATTTTCCCAGTCTACCATTGGTGCATTAAAGTCCCCTAGGATTAGACATCGACCACTTTGGGACCAAGTATTGAGACTGCTTAACAGGATCTCATTTGCCTCACAGTTTGGACTGCGATAGACCAAACCAATCAGCAGCTCTTGTCCCTTGCATTTTAAGCGAAGACTAACTAATTCGCATGTCCCACTCTCATGGGATACACTATCGATAATGGCAAATGGGATAGCATTCCTAATGAATAGAGCTACTCCCCCTCCTTTGCGCTTTTGTGTTCTGTCAGCCCTTACTAACGTAAAGCCCTTGAAATCAAGTTCTATACTATCTATAGCCTGTGTCAGCCAGGTTTCTGTTACTGCGATTATATCTGGCTTTATAGAGTCAATCTGTACACCTAGTTCCGATCGCTTATTAAGTAAGCTTCGTGCGTTGGTGTAACAGATCCGAAGCCTGTTTAGGTGCCTTCGTGCTTCACCCAGAGTGGCTTCGGCATCATTCTCTGTCGAAGTCTTAAAACCCGAAAATTTACAATTTTCAGGTCCTTTTCGCCAGCGTCTAACCTATGTTGTAGTTCTTTCTCGGCTTCCCGTCTTTTAACACGGTCTGCCAACGGTAGGTCCTTTCGGATAAAGACTCCCGAATCCTTTAATTTGTGTCCATTTTGTAAAATTAGGTCACGTTCGTTTGAAGAGCCGAATACTACTTTAAGCAGTCTGGAATGATTTGGTTTCGAGTCCGTTAGACTCCCTAGTCTATACACCTTTAGCAAGGTGACCCCAGTCATATTTTGAGGCATGAGTTGATTAAGCAGCTGCCTAATCAGTACAATGTCATGCTCAAAACGAGCTTTAGGTTCAGAGCTATCGCTCTCCTTAATTCTATGAAAAATAGCTGATTTGTCGCTATGATCAGCTTTCGATATTTCAACCACTTTTACGGGGGCAGGTTTCCCTTTTATGTCAATACTTTTCTTCCTTACAACCTTTACCCATTCGTTAACGCTGCTGGTAGAAGCAGTAGCAGTTGCGTCAAAACTAGTGTTGGGTTTTGGGGGGTTGTCGACGACCTGAGGGGTCGTGTTATGTTTACCATTCGAAACCGATCGAGCCTTGCGATTGCGGCTCCTAGGTGTTTCCTGTTGGATCCCATCTGGGAGACGGGGAACAGAAGACCCTGCTTTTCTTGAGCTTTTTTTTAAGGCAGACCCCTTTGGATACTGCTTTTCCTTCTTCGACGGGCGTGAGTCATCTATCACCGGACTCACCTTAGTTTCCTTCAGATTGATTTGCGTGTCAACAGATCGAGTGCTGTTTGACGCGTTCCGACTATGCTTGTTGAAACACTTCTTGGCAGCATCAACCAGTGAGATAGCCTCGGTTAACAAGCTGTTTGCATCCGAGCAGCACTGTTGACAAAGCCACACACAACCCTTCTTACTGAACCGTTTGAAAGCAGCAGGCGTTAAGTTCGTGCAAACTTCGTGGTACCAGCCTTTGCACTCGTCGCACTGCAAGCCGCTTTCAACAGGATAACGACAACCCGGACGTTGGCAACTGCTTTTTTTACACTGTCCGGTCATTTAGGAGGGGTTTTTTCAATATGCGATGATACCCAGAAACAAAAAAAATTATCAATGACCAAAAAAGTGAAGAGCTGTAGATTGCTAGGACCAAAAGTACTAACAGATACAGTTGAAAAAGTGGTACTAAAGAGTACCAACGACAAAACAGTAAAAACGATACTTAAGTCGAATACTTTAACTGAAATAAATTCAATTAAAGTGAAAAACAGTAGTCTTGATACGTAATAAACGATCAAAACAATGAAATTTACTCAGCGAGGAAAAATACCACTGTCCTTTTTAAATAGCGCGGCTTCAATCAATACACTAGTATTGATTCATTATATCGTAAATATTAAGTTCGTTTATTATTTTCTCTACTTTTTTACTACCTACGACCAATTATTTGAGAGGGATTCTCAAAGCGTTTAGGAACAACGAATGATTTACGTCTTACGTTTCAATTTCGACAAGAGGTCCTGGATTACTGGGATTCCACACTGGAATACGTACTATAAGTACCTATGTTTGATAGGAAAAAATAAGATCAACTCATCACAGTATTACAAATGGCAAGGATTAACATAGGCCACCTGACCTTGTATTTTCACAATTGAATATGAATGTAAAATTTTAGACTTTTCGAACTTCATGGTAATTACAGTTCTCATTGCAATGTGGGTTAACTTATCGAGACATTAATGACTTATTTGAATTTAATTGATATATATATATAACTCGATTGACTATAAATGCTGATACCAGACTTCAACTCAAGGAACCAATAAAGGGGAAATATAGCAGACAAAAGTGTAAATAATGGGGGGGGGGTCGATTTTGGGCGAAAAGTAAACAACTCAGCGACATGAAGAGGAAAATCGACATTTTTCTCCCTCTGACATGCGAAAAAGCAGACATTTAGACACGTTTCCCCATTATTTCCACTTCATATTCCAATATATTTTCCCCTTTATTTCCGCTTTATCGGTTACTTGTGAAATCGTAGACTTCAGTCCTAAATTCCACATACTTACCACGTCTCATTGCTATTATTTTCATGTCTATCATTGAATTGCCCTTGTAGTTCAGTTTTACCGCAACCACTAACTCTAAATACTACTATATATGTTCATGTTTGTTTAGAAATCTGTGGTGATATTCATCCATAGTGATGTGTAGATAGAAAAGTTAGTTAACCATGTAAAAGGCTATGCTTGAACAATGTTTTCATGGTTCAAAACAGTTAATCTTCAACTAAAATATCTACCAAAGCGTCATCTTGTAAGCCATTTTTTACTAACTGGATAGTATGTGTACAAGTTATTAAGATCTCCTAAGTATATAGGGGAATGTAGACATGTATTAAATAGCGGTAGATCATAGTGACAATCTAACTGAAGACCAGCTGCACGTTTTAGAAATGTGGTTTGCAGAAAAACTAAATTTCTTGGGACTCATTGTCTTTTCTGAATGCAGTTTCGTTATGAATCAGAAAGTATGGTTTATTTGTATTACTTGTTTGTGATGCACTGTATATGTCTGGTTTTGAATTCCTGTGTTCTTTTTTAGTTTGAATTTAAATTCTATGCGAACAGTGATGACAAAGAATTCAAGCGACATGACACTGTGACGTATTCTAACTTAGTTCAATCACTCACTTTAAGTGATGGTAAGTTGAGTCTGTGTTATCAATGTTTCGCAGGTTACAGAGATGTTTTAGGTTTGCGCACAGATTTCCATGCAATCGCAAACGGTTCAAGTAAGTTTACATACATTTTTATAAATTATTACGATCCATTACAAATCTGCTTATGTGTGTTACTGTGTACTGCGTATTTATAATGGTTTTTATTAAGGTAACTCGAAACCAATGTAAATCCAGTAAGCAAACATTTTGTCTTTTACAGTATATTTGGCTTGCCTCACTTTCCTAGTGTCTGTTTACATGATTCTATTTCATTTAACTACAGTCAAAAAATAGTATGAAATGCAACAAGCTGACTAATAATTGTCTCGTTTTAAATATTCTGACAATTCTAATTTATTGCAAAATAACCTCATTTATGCAAAAAGTCCAAACAAACGTGCTATTAGATGGTATATATTTGTGTCTGACATGTTTTAGACAAAATCATTGATAAACTAACGCAAGAAAAATCTTGATGTCAACTAGGCTGAGTGCATTCGCTATTTTAACTCTGTAACCGGACTTGTTCTTTGTAGCAGTTTAGTTACGCTGTGCAGTCACATTCTGATATCAAAGAAACACTCAATGCTAAACCGAGTTTCACTAAAGCCTATCAGGACGAAATGTCGTCGTAGTAATAATGACTAAAAAGTATCAAACATGGATACCTCTAAATTCTCTTGCACACTTCGAAATTGAATTCAATCATCTATTAATGGTTCTCGCCTTATCATTGACCCTTATTTGATCTCCAGGAGTCTTCCTCCAAGCTATGTTTTAAAGCTCACAGTATTTGACCCATATATCAAGTCTAATATGATTGACGTATGCTATCTCCGGAATTTGCATAAATGACTCATGGGTGATCAGTTTAAGCGCCTGGGTAGTTTTGCTATCCATTAAAATGCAATGTGAGTATATGAAAATATACTTCCTAGACAGATCACACTGGCCAAAAACATGGTCATTCATCAGCCAATATAGATAAGCTCAGCTCTTCCTTTATATGTCTTTGATTTCGTTATTTATTCCTCATGATCCTACTAGTGTAAGTATATTATTAAAACTGAATGCAGAAAAGTTGTTCCTGGGCTCGATTCAGATTGCGGACTCTATGTACAGTTAAATCAAATTAGACAATAGGAGCTCGAAAGAGGGGTATAAACCGTATTTTTCAATTTGAAGCGTTGCATACATTTCCACTAAGTAGATTCCAAATAAAATCCAAGATCAGTTATACTAAAACAATTATAATCTCCTTCAAAGAGCTAAGTACTTTGATGTAGTGATTATGACGGGTGATTATAATTATAATCACTTTGGTGTATATATAATTTATTAAGTAAACTTTACTGTCTGCTTAGGATGTATATCCTTAATATATTTATGTTCTCCAAGTTATGTTTTGATTTTGTGACTAGTCGAGTGGTATCCATGAATACTAGGCAGTAGAAGACGTAATACTCAAGTTGTTGTATTGTTGATATGCTCTTTAAGGCGACTCACTTTAATAATTTGGCTTTAAGTATATGGATGACGTATTACAAACTAAGCAGGTGTGCTATAACCTGAACTTTCGCTGCTCAATTATAAATATCGATGCAATTGTAAAAACATAGGTAGGCGCAATTAGCAAAATCATGAACTTACTTTCCAACAGTATAAGCCCAATATTCTCAAGTAAACTCTCAACTATTAGGACTGAAGGGACACTAATTTTAGCTGCGAATATACGTATTTTATGGGGAAGTTAAAACTTTTATATACAGATCTCTTTCAGAGATTAGTGGTTGCATTTAGATGATTCTAACTTAAAACAAGCTTTGTACTAAACAGATATCAACACTGGGTGGATAGTTTTCACAGTACAGTAAGATAATATACTAAAATATTTATTAACTTAATTTTCAAAGATAAAACTAAATGTTAGACCGGCCGATTATCAAAGTTAATCAACTAGTGATATATCTCTTGGTCGCCCCTTATAGATTCTTTTTTTCCCAGAGAACGCAAAAAAGTAAACATGACTAAATTGATATTTAATAATTGTGAGAAGTGTACTCTGCTTTAGAAATATTCTTTACATAATCAGTAGCAAACCGATTGGATGATTTTTTACGAGGGTGACTTCTACAGATTAAAATGATTCAAATACCAATCTTATATTCTACTCTAATATTTCATAAGCATCATATCAACCGTGGCAATGCAGAAATGTACTTGATAACTAGGTGGAATAGTATACTTTTCTATGAATGGGCGTTCTGAGAGAGCGGAATTAATTATCTGTGGGTCCTTTGTGCCCACCAATCCGGTTTTGGCGCCGGATATTCGCTTTTCGTTCTCTCAATTTCGTAAACAATGCCCCCGCCACAAGGCGGTGAGTGGGACTTCTTTCGAAGTAGTTATGTAGTTATAAGAAATTCAAATTGAGCACGATTATGGGCATCTGTCGATTTCATTCCTTGTCAGTTGTCTCCAAACAATGCTTCCACCTTCCAACACGTTCTTCGTTCTTTTGGGTGATTACAACCAATAGTCACCAATTTTGTGGATTTGTGCTGTGTTGTAACGTGAATACCGTCACTTATTTCTAAGCGTATGCGTTTTGAAAGTGACTTAATATCGAGAATTTATGTCTTATTTGATTGCTTTTTTCCATTAGTCTCTTTTTAGTCTAGAATGGAGCGCGTATAAATAAAGTTACTGAATCAACGTTATCACGGCAACCATATGATGCTTCAAAAGCAACAATGGTCGTCTCGTCTCATTTAACTTAAATGGATGTATCTTAGTAATAGAATGAAGTGTTAAGTTGTTTACTTACCATTTGCAAGGGTATTCGTTTTCTCACAAGGATTTTTTTAGGTAATTGACTGTTTTAAAATATATTTAAGTACTTCTGAAATGCTAGACAGTAATAGAATTTATTTATCATTATTTTATTACAGAACTGTGGTACATTGCTGAATCTGTTCTCGATGATTATCTACGTAAACTGCCCAAAGGTGAACTCAATGTATTCGACGCTGTTCACGCACGTGAGGATGTCAAACCTGGCTTCATTGAAGGTGGTTTTACCCTGTGGGATGGCAGCAAGGATCTCGTCGATTACATATCAAAATATTTTTCGGAAAAAATGTGTGGAAAAAACGTCTTAGAAGTAGGTTGCGGTTGTGGACTACCAGGTATATTCGCTATCAAGGCTGGTGCCCGCTTAGTTAGGTTCCAAGTAAGCGGGTTGTTTTAAGTCAGCGTTGTGTTGGCGTAATATTATAGCCTTATCTTGATAAGAAATATTTGGTCGAGTTGCATAACGTCCTCGGGTTGCGATTTAAATATTGAATGAAAGTATTCTATCATAGGAGTTTTAAAGTTTATTTCCGAAAGTGTCTAGGTAAATTATATTTGATTATTTAACATAAAAGCTCACTAGCATCTTAAAGGTCGAAAGGAATGGTGAAGTCGTATAGAAAGTCTGCATGTGGTGAATGTTTTTGTGAAGAGTTTGCCACACTTTACTACATTTTCTCATCAGTATTTTTACTATTTTCTTTTTTAAGGATTACAATTCCGAAGTTTTAAAGTGCTGGACTATTCCTAACGTCATCATTAATTCAGGATCTCAAAATGATGCTGATAGCCACAATGAACACACTCAGTTGGAATTCTACAGCGGGGACTGGTTTCATCTTTCAAAGCTTTGGCAGTCAAGCGCCAATGTGAAGTTTGACTATATCTTTACTAGTGAAACAATTTACCGCACAGACCTATATGAAAGATTGCACAACATACTTGAAACTAGTCTATGTCAATCTGGGATCGTTTTGTTGGCTTGTAAAGCTTCTTACGGACCTGGAGGTAACATTTTTGACTGGTTAACTTATGTCGAGAATCTAGGCGTGTTTCAGACAACTACTTTCAAATTGACAACTTCTGGGGTAATGCGATACATCGTGAAAATGATCAGAGCTTAATTTGTTTCGATCAACTTGTTTTGTATATTCTTTTTGTTCCGACTTGATAAATAAGATAACAGTTGACCGTAATTTCTAGCTGTTTAAATAGTTTGGGAAGCCTGATGTCACGAAATCTTGAATGGCATCTTTGATCTTTGTTTAGTGGGTTTTATATTAGACGAAGATCACGACATAAACACACCGTTTGTTACGGTTTTATCTGCTAACAATATTACGTTTCGTAAACGTAATATTTCGTGTAAATTAAAATTTTAAATCTAGTTTTCACAAATACGTTCAGGTCGCAGCTACATTAGTAATATTCAAAGTAAACTGACAAACATAAAAGTAAGTACCAACTCTACTTAAATTTTTTTTTCGTCAGTATAACTTCACTTAGGTGATATAAAAGAGTTATGTCGGACATTGTAGTGTTCAGTATGTGACAAAGGCATTGATTTGTGCACCCAAAAAAGATTAGCGAATTGTAAGTCAAACTTACCTGCTTCTTTTTGAGTCACATTTTGGGCATAAGTTTGTCTATATAACAGCTAAGTTTCTACTATAATGATGAGTAATATCAAAGTTGATGAATCACAGCAGCAACCTGCATGATTAACTTTTTAAGCAATAGGTAGAAAATGGTATAACGTTCGGAATGCAACGGGTTTCGTTATGCTCTGATAATCTCTTTTTTATTTGACTTTGGAAAAATCTTGATTTTGTGTAAACTGCCGGAATCCTAGCTTCCTCCAAGTTAACTTATTTATCGAATGAAGTGTTTTACATCTGAGCACAATTAGTTGTCTGCCTGCTTAACACCGATAAATAGTCTGAAAACTGTTGAATGTTTTGTGCAAGAACAGTTATAGCTCCATCAGTTCAAAATTATTTTGGGTAAAAATATAAATTATCGTTAACTAAAGCTATCCATTGATTCGGACTTCCTAGTGTAACACCTGCAAAGTGAAATGCATGTTTGTAAATACCTTCCGGTTCGTTTAAATTCAGGTGTCATAATCCACACAAACTTCTACCATGTAAATCATACAAACCCATGTATATATCTGTTTAAAATATACAATTAAGTTTTTGGGAAAACTTATTTCAATTGACGTTTATTTTGTATTACGATGTGATTACGTACAAGTACAAAGTTATTATTTCTTACAACCACTTAAACTTCTAATCTAACTAAACATATAGAAAGTTATTTTTTAGTGCACTTCAATTACTCATATCGATTAAAGTTGTAAACATATTGATAGAAACCAATTAATCTTCAACCAGTCTGATATTTTCTCATATATGCCTTCTACCTCGAGCATTTTCTATGCATTAAGGTCGTATATATAATGCCGCCGAAAAATTAGTATGTAACAAAAAGTTCTATAGTTGCTACAACCTATGAACTGTATATTTACGGATTCATAAATATTTTATTTGGTGGTTTTATGCAAGCATATATATGAGCAGGCGACAAAAGCCGAAATACATATAATATCGCGGACTGTATTCGCAACCAGCTGGTTAAGCTGTGCAACAACACCAAGTTAATAACTACATTTTTATAAGCTGATATGATTGATGTTTGCAGTTGCAACAGATCGCAGAAATCGTTAATTATTAAACTGAACTGGATTGAAGACATGACTTTAATCTTGATTTCGGTAGTTTCAATAAGCTTTAGATATATTTCAGTAAATCTAGAATGACTGGCTACGAGCATTCCATTAAATGACATATTAGAGATGTAGTTTTTCTTAGAACAGTACATTTGTTATTTGTTGTAAAGAACTTGTTAACAGATAATGTTTGTAAAAAGAACGTGGTATACTGCTTATCACAGCTACGTGTTATGTACCACTCTCTGTCGTCAGTATTAATTTTGTCGTGTAGATATAGTTTGGGCTTACTAAAATAGCCTAGGACTTATCAGTAGCGACGGAGAAAACTACAATGAACATTTCTTTTGAACAGTTTGAAGCCTACATAGAGCATCAAGAGAAACAGTTTGAAAAGTCTCAAACAAGAATCATAGAAATCGTTCAGATGTGTCTGTCTCAGTAAAACCCCTCTTTTGGTGAGTTTGGAACTTACAAGGTTAAACCACACAAAGTTAACGCAATGACAGCGGTAAGCCATCATTCCCATGCTGGTTGTGGCGGTTAGTGCTTCAAAAGATTTTTCCCGTTTCGAAATCATTGTTGTACTACATGTTCTAGAAAAGGTCATTGATAAGTCTTTCAACTGGACGTTTCTAATAGTCAGTCAGTCATTAACAACGTTGCCATACCACATTAGCACAGAGATGCAGTTGTCGATTCAAATCCCCTAGTGGTAGAGGTAGTAAGAGTATAAGCAGCAATCTGGAAGATTAGGGTTTGGAGATGTTATATAAAGAGTGTAATCCAGTGAAATAAATTTGGGAGAAGAAAAAGAGACAAGGAGGAATCAGGAGATTAAAATTTGGGAGAACACAAAGAGTGGATGCACCTGCGCCATTACAAACGATTTTGAGCCATGTCATTCAGGGTCTCTAACCATCGGTTGCTATCATCTCGCGGTCCCCAACCAGGTAGTCTACACCTACCGACATGATTCAGTCCACTTGTCAGTGACTTCATGGACATGGGCATATGTAACACATGTCCCAACCATCTCAACTGATGAAGTTTCACCACTGCATTAATTGATTTGCCATCCTTATCTAGTACCCGTTTCCTAACAACAACGCTTCTAATAACTCCGGGCTAAATCTACACGGCAGCTTGAATGTAAGAGAAGAGGTACGAAGGCCGATGATAAGGATTTATTAAATTCCCAAAATAAATCAAAGTGATTTGAAAACACACCACACTTTATATTACTTATTTACGGTTAGATTAACAGACAGATTTGTATTTAAGGATAATAATTCAGTAAATTACTGTGTAAGTATATGTCATATTATGCAATTAAGCATCTGTAATCCTTCTTAAAATGTTCAATCCATATCACACACGATTGGAAAAAGAAGTTTCATATCCCATTCGCATTCCAATCGATGACGTCATTACTCACTGTGGCAGTCATAGAGAGAGTCATTTTAAAGCCAGAAAACGCCACTAACAACCGAAAGCATATTCTAGAAGATTCAAACCGCGAACGACCAAGGTAACAATTACCCTTAACCGGACCGGTTCATATAACCGTAGAAAATATGTTTATCTCATGATTAATGGGTATGATGCCCGTATACGGCTTCTAACATCTCGCTTATAAGCAGAAGAATATGAGAGTTTTGTTAGACCTCAATAATATATTCAACTCAACAGTCAGCCCATAGTGCTTCTGACGGAAAGCCAACTGTTGTTGGAGAATTACATTACAGTCATTGAGAGAAACATAACAGAAGAGAGCATGTTGTATATCACTGAACACCTTGGGACTTGATTGGATCAAGAAACTAAAATCAACAGATCGTCCCATAAACCAAATCTGCAGTTATGTGGAGGCAATGAGAGACTACCACAAAACCCAGCTGGCATACTATTGAGCAGAAAGTATTTGATGACGTTCCTGGAGTGTAAAAGCTATTCCTACCTCTCGGTTTTGGACGAAGTCATTATTCCGATCCAAAAGACCTGTGCCTTATGCTGTTCTCCCAGTAGTTGAACAATAACTCGGACGACTTCGAGAAATGAGTATTATTGGACCAGTGAACTTCTCAGATTGGACTGCGCCGATAGTGGTAGTTAAGATATCCAACGGTAGCGGTCGCTCATGTGCCAATTACTCCAGTGGGCCAAATAAAGTTCTAGAAGCTCACCAGTATCATTTACTCTTGCCGGAGATCTCTTCACCAAGTTGTACGCTGGTGTTTTTTGGAAAGTTGGATTTCTTAGGAGCTGATGAGTGTAAAGATTCCATCATCAATACAAACAAGGGTCTATTCCAATATAATCGATCGGCCTTTGGAGTCAAGACGGAAGTCGCTATATTCTAACAAATTGTGGATACCATGTTACAGGGTATTTCAGGAGCGTGAGCTTATTTGGATGACATCATTATGAAATTACAAAAGAAACTTGACCTAGTGCTATCACACATATCTGGATATGGTTTTCGTATCGGTGCAGAAACGTGACTTTTATATGCAACAGGTACAATATCTTGGCCTCATAATAGATAAAGGACGACGACCAGATCCAGAAAATATCGATGCTATAAAAACCATGCCTAGACCAACTGAGATTTTTACTCTGCGATCTTTCTTTGGACTGGTTAGCCATTACGGGACTTTTCTTCTTAGTCTTCATTGAATCACTTGCTGGTAAAGAACTCAAACCCACAAACTCCAAAGCAGCTTTCGAGAAAGTCAAGCAATCCCTAGCCTTCATATTCTTTCGTACACATTATGACTCCTTCTTACCTATTGTGGATGCTTAAAATTATATTATTGGGACACTCATCTTTCATATTTTCTCCGACAGATCTGGAAAAGTGATCTATTTGGTCAGACTGTTGACAACGACAACGTAACTACAACCAAATAGAGAGATCATAAACCATTACTAGCCATATTTGGGTTAAGGAAAGGGATTGCTACCTACACGACTCATCAGCTACAACATTGGACAACCATACTTCCAGGCAACGATTTTAGGATCAAGTACCAGCCTATTATAGATTTTGGACACACTGATGCCTTATCGAGATTAATAGGTAAAACTGGGAAAGAAGTTCGTCGCCTATTGGATGATGAAGTTGATGAACTAACGTTTACTTTCAAAGAAACTATTAGAAATGGCTAGACATTAAGTCAAGGGGTTTTTCTTTATTAGATGGCCAAACCACCGCTTTCAGAGAGAACGTTTGAAATACTTTCGTCAACGTGACTCACTAATGGCTGTCGACTCATATGTTATATTCGATGAACGGATTTCCCCAAAATTACCGCGCCAAAAAGTGCTCAAGCAATTCCAGGCAGCCCACCCTGATGCAGCATGGAATGATATCCGAAAAGCTGTGGAAATAGCAGTGATATCTGCTAGTAAGGTAAACCAGAAGGTTAGGGAGCAACACTGGATCTCAGCAGCATCTATCTCACTGATAAATGCTCGGAAACACATTCCACCTGGCTCTGAACATAATGAAGAGTGGAGTCAGCTTAAGCGCAAGCTGACAAGAAATCTACGCAATGATCGCGAACAGTGGTGGGTAGCGAAAGCAAGAGAGATGGAAAAGGCAGCGGCAATAGGTAATAGCAGACAACTGTTTAGACTCGTTAAGGAAACCGGAATTAGGAACCCGACCGTTAGCGAAACAATCTCAGAGAAAGATGGACATATTATTCATTCTCAATCCAGGAGATTGGATCGATGGGCAGAACACTTTAGGGATCAGTTCAACTGGCCTTCAGCCACTTTTCGGTTTCCCACGATCTCCAGTCAACCTGAATGGAAAGTTAATGTAAGTCCTCCGTCCCTTTACGAAGTTGAAAAAGCCATAGGAAATCTGAAACGAGGGAGAGCAGCAGGCCCTGACAGGTTTACTCCTGAGATTTTTAAGGATGGTGGTCCAGTATTAGCAGCGAGATTAACCGAGGTCTTAGGTAGAATCTGGGAGCTGGACGTAATCCCATCTGACTGGTTTCAATCACTGATCGTGCCAGTCTATAAGAAAGGACAAAAGTCCTCTTGTGACAATCACAGAGGAATCAGTTTGACAAATATAGTGTCTAAAATATTAGCCTCAATAATACTTCGACGTCTAACTAAAGCTCGTGAAGAACAGACTAGAGAAAATCAGGCTTGTTTTCGACCTGGACGTGGTTGTATAGATCAGATATTCACACTACGTCAGGTTCTAGAACACAGACACACATTCAGACGCCCCACAATCGTATTATTTCTCGACCTTAAAGCGGCATTCGACTCTGTTGATCGTGAGGTTCTATGGCAGTGTTTGTCACTGAAAGGAGTACCAAAGAAGTACATTAACCCTATACAGGCTCTCTACTCGAACACAATTGGTCGAGTGAGAGCTTATGGCGAACTGTGGTCAGAATTGATTACCTCAAGTGGTGTTCGTCAGGGCTGTCCACTCTCCCCATTCTTGTTCAACTTTGTGGTCGACGTTCTTTTAGAGATAACACTCTCCTCATCTAAATTCCCAGGGGTTGAACTTCTACCGGGAGGTTCACTTGTTGACTTAGAATATGCTGATGACATAGATCTATTTGGTGAAGACGCTGACAAAATGCAGAGTCTTCTGACCACTCTAAGCAACAATGCAAGCATGTTCGTAGTGAAACTTCATCAGTTGAGATGACTCGGACACGTGTTACGTATGCCCAACCACCGACTGCCTCGACGTGCTATGTTCAGTGGTATAGGAGTAGGTTGGAAGAAAGCTAGGGGCGGCCAAACCAAAACATGACACAAGTCCATGAAGTCACTGACAAGTGGACTGAGTCATGTTGGTAGGTGTAGACTACCTGGTTGGGGACCGCGAGATGACAGCAACCTGAATGACATGGCTCAAAATCGTTTGCAATGGCGCAGGTGCATCCACTCTCTGTGTTCTCCCAAATTCTAATCTTCTGAATTCTTCATGTCCCTTTTTTCCTCTTTCCAAATTTATTTCACTGGATTATACTCTTTAGATAACATCTCCAAACCCTAATCTTCCCGATTACTGCTTATACTCTTATTACCTCTACCACTACGGGATTGAATCGACAAGTGCATCTCTGTGCTAATGTGGTGTGGCAACTCGAACTGATGTACGTACATACGAAGTTCTACGTTGTTACTGACTGACTGACTCCAGTGGTCACCCTGGGATCAATAAAATAAAATGGTTGGCTCAAAGCTACGTCTTTTAAGCATCAATGGACAGAAATATCGAAGACAAATGCCATAACTGTCCGTCTTTCCTGCGAGCTGTTAAAAACCCTTCGATAAGTGGCCTAAGCCTGCTGGACTCTGGGAAAGATTTTATGCAAATTTCGCAAGTCCAGTCCTAGGAAAAAGTTTCTAGTTATTGTGGATGTATTTACAAAATGGCCCGAAATATATATCATGTCGAACTGTACAGACAAGGGAACAATCATCAAGTTGTCTAGTCTGTCCAGCTATTCCGGAGTTCCAGATGCTTTGGTGACAGGTAATGACTCTCAATTCGCCTCTGACTTGTTCGGACAATTCTGTGGTGTGAAGGAATAACTCATCCTCTCTACCCTATCATCACCAATCTAACAGACAAGCAGAGCGCTTCATAGACACTTTCAAAAAAGCACTGCTTAAGGGAAGAGAGAAGACTCCGAGTTAGCCAACCAATAAGTTCTTACGTCTAACCCAACCCTGTTGTGCCGGATGGGAAGTCATATTTGGGAGAAGCACCTGGACGGTTTCTAACGCTATGCTCCGGTCGCAGTCTTGACACGGAGAGAAGAGTATTTATGAAGTCGGATCATGGCCAAAATCGATGGGAACCAGGGATTATTGTGCTAAAATTGGGTAGAGTTTTGTATAAGGTGGGAGGAGCCTTCCGAACATTTGTTAAGCATACGAACCAGGCTCATAAAGATAAAAGAACGATAAACACTAGAGCTGGTCAAACGAATCTGCCACTGGATATACTTTTGGACACTTGCAAGGTGAGGACTTGGAATGAAAACGAAAGAAACACATTAAGAGAAGGACGATGCCGCCGCAGATCAGTCACCAGACTACAGGGAAACGCGAGAAGTCATGCTTTTTAGCGATATTGGAGGGGTCCCAAAGATATACCTCGACAAGCCTATAGAGACACAGAAAACTTGTTGAATCTTCGCATAAAGACCTAGAAAACACAGAATCACTTGCCACGGTTTTGATCCGATAATTACCTATGAGGCTACTATAGTTAGTATGGTTCCGGAAGCTCAAGGGCGTTTGAAATAGTATGAATACCCCTATTTTTCTGTACCTTAACTAACTTAGGAGTAAAACGTCCTCTCTACACTTCGCGCCTTTTTTGTCGTGTTCAGGTTGCCGTGTGGAATTAACCTGGGTTTATTAGAAGAGCTTAGGAAACTGATTCTCGCATTCATTTGGAAGACTTATCAGAAATAAACATTGAAAATAAAAGTAAATCAGTCTCCAAAGGTGTGATATTGTTTGGAATAAAGTGTAGTTCGTTTTTATCAAGAACCACTCACATTAATAAAAATAACTTCGATCAACATGTCAAACGAAACCAATCATTTGTAAATCATGATTTGACAGTGGATACGAATATATTGAACGGAGGATGAAGGTGAAAACCTCTCTGGGTAGTGGGTCCACACCACCATTGTGTCCCCATCTTGAAGTTGTCGTTACAATAACCTCTGTGAGGAAATCAGGGAATTCTGTCTAACTTCATTGCTTTTCTGTACCAATTAGTTGTATACACTCATCTTACATAGCATTCTTGTATAGAACTCCCATAATATTCCTGAATTCTTGGCAAACAGTTAAGTCAAGTTTTTTTTAACATGGACACGCTAGAAGTTAAGTATTTTGTACGATTTCATAAAAAAAGTCGAGGTTAAGTCTTTTGCATAGTTATCAAATTATTTTGCATAATTGTTTAAGATCAGAAGGGGTTTTGTGGATATTTATAGTAATTTCAATGGTTGAGATCACGAGTCAATTGAAACTGGGCCACCATAGTAAACCTGGAAGCACTGGACGGCCGTTTTGTCCTATTGCGGGATTGCTCAGCAGTGCGCATATACGATCTCGCCCCCCGCGAGATTCGAACCCAGGACCTATCAGTCTTGCACGCGAGCGCTTGACCACTGAGCGATGCGATTTCTACAGACAAGTGACTACCCGGTCCATACATTTAACCAAAATTACACTTTGTAATTAATAAGCACTGACGAATAAAATCGGCTTATGCTTGTACATAAGTTTTCTCCATTTTAGGGTTAAATACTAAAGCAAATCAAAAGAACAAGAAATATTCGAATATTGAAATATTTTTCTGTAAAATTTGGCAAACATATACAAGAAAATAAATTATGATACGAACATATGGAAATCACTAACAAATTAAGCGATAAGAGAAGCAAGGAATTTATCACAGGTATTGATGCATAGCTGTTATATACCATGTTCCGGAATTAGTTTATCGAAGGACAAATAAAACTTTGTGTACGAGTGGGTCAGTATCAATCTGAAGATTTAGAAAAATTGAAAATCAAAGTATTTAATTTGCAAAAGTAAAAGAGTTACATCGTAACCTAGGTACATGTTCGTACATTGAGCTATAAGCCGCAAATATTTTTTGTAGGTAGTGATATTTAGTCAACTCCATATACAGTTGACCAAGAGATGCTTTTATTAACTTTAGGAAGTAGATATATACAATTTTGATTTGATATATAGTAAAAAACCTAACTTTAATCAGGTTTTTATTTTGCGTCACAATCTAAGATGCATTGTCGTTGCTCAGGTTCGCCAGCAAGATACTTTTACCTAGAATGCTCATCATCGGTGTGACGTTTTTGGCTTCTTCAAAAAGTATCATGAACAAAGTTCTCAGAAATCTATATTATATATAATTTAGATTTTCAATTTGTTGGTTCAAGAGTTGAAAGAAAACGGGATTTATAGCTTTAATAACAAGCTTGGAATTTGTAGCATTTCAGTTTTTATTAGACTTTAGTTTCAACACTCGGACAGCTCTTTTGAACTATTATTCAAAATCAGTGAAGATTAGCGCGATATTCTGAAGATGCTAAACATCTGAGGTTAATCCCAAACAGTGACAATGTTTGAGTGGACCAATGCTAGATAGCTAATTGTCTGTGAGATACGATTTCGAATACATTAGAAGTGGAAAAGTATGAAGCTAATATAATATAGTTACCTAAAACAGAATGTTCTCCTCATTTTTTGTAGACGACTGGGTAGGATTATCTACCTTGATTTCATCCGAGTGTAATTTGACCATATCATCATAAAAACAATTAGTCTTAACTGCAGGATAGCTTACGGGTCGACATATTGAACATGACCAAAAATGAACCACAGATGCAGGTGTATCAGTTTTACACTGGAATTCCCTCAAACATCTTTCATGAAACGCATGATGGCAACTGAAGAATAAAAGGAACAAGATAATCTACCGAAATTAAGATTCAGTTAAATAATGAAGTGATGTGACAAAAAAATTGTTTGGATAACTTACTAAAGTAGCGAACAGCTAAATCAATGGTTTAACTCAGCCTGGACGCCACTAGGGTCACCACTTGTCCCAACTCCGTATGAATGAAGAGGGTCAGGCGTAAAGTTAGCAGCGTATTTCGCCCAAAATACGCTATGTTAGACGAATTAATTTCAACTCTTGGATGAAAATTGAAGGGTCTAAATATAGAGAACTTATAATGCCTCATGGTATAGCCGAGATTATTTGAAAGTCTAGGAGCATCCAGATAACCAGAACAACAAACAATGAAGATGTACATGGTGTATGGGCAATGTGGGAGACCGGAAGGCCCAAGTAGCTTAAGAAATGAAAAGATACAACTTGGAGGTTTGCGTAATAAATGAAACCCGCTGGCTTCAAGATGAACCGAAATAAATAACTTCGGGAGAGATACTGTTGTATTGTAGTCACAAAGAAGGAAATGATTTGCACACAAAAGAAGTTTCAATAATGTTATGCGAAGAAGTGCGAAAATTGCTTATAGGATGGGAATCTCATAGATCATCAAATCATCCTGCAAAACAAAGAGGGGATTAAAATTAATGTCATTCAGTGCAATGTGCTCACCAAAGATGACAGCCCAAATAATAAATGTTAGTTTTATGGAGCTGCAGTTCACTCTACAAAAGTGCTCAGAATAGGACCAGATCATCCTGATGGGAGACTTAGACTCGGAATGGACAACACTGGGTAAGAAGATATCATGGAACAACATGGACTGTGAGGAAGGAACGAGAATGGTGAGGGATTTGTTTTCAACAATATGGCTACAAGTGGCACCATTCAACCCTACACATGTTTACACAAGGCAGCATGAGTTTCACTGGACCACATTACAGAGAATCAGGTCGATAGTAATTGCATCAATGAAAAACTCGAAAGGTTCATGGGAGATGTGAGAACCAGGGGCTAACAGCTTTAGATCACCATCCGATTGTGACTCCCAAGATCAAACCGAAGCCAAAGAAGCACTAGACACCACTACTGAATTACCTACTTCTATGAATGCGGTGTTCATCTTGTGCTAATGAGGTATGGCGACTTGGACCGCTGCACATATGTGCCAGGTCCTACGTTGTAGCTGACTGATTACAATGATTCAACACAGCCTTTATTCGACATACTGACAAACTCAACGAATTCATTACGTGCCTACCGATCAATATAAATTTTAAAAAAGCCATAATGACGTGTGTGATTTAACTGTTCGTTTGTCTGTTAGCAGATAGCACAAAACTTGTATCATAAGAAGTAAATGTATGTAGTGTGTACGGCAAAAGACCGAATATCAACTTACTGAAATACTATTACACGTTTATCACTTAAAGTTTTGTCATCATTACTCATCATACGTTTTGCTTCCCATTCTCGTCTAGTCAGTAAATTGTTTATTCGAAGGTCTAATCCACATGTAGAGCAAATAAGGCTTCGATTACTAAAACCACAATTGTACTCTTTAAATGTTCGAAGTTGCTTGGAAGTTAACTCTTTTCCTGCTAATTGTTTGTTAATTACCATCTGATTTGCCTCGAATTGACAGGCTGATATAAACTTCTTCACCAATAAATTAATTTTGGAGTTTACTGTAATTTCTGTCCCATTAATCTAAAAATACGGGTAAAATACGTACATGAAACAAGCATTTCTCATGTGTTTTTTTAGAAATGGTCATTTACTACTGATTATTAGATCAGTCAGTGTAATGTGAACAGACGAAATTAGGATTCTCAATTAAGGTAAAAGAATGTAACATTTAATAAAACCTTTTGTTCGGAGCTTCAAGTAAAAATATGAAACAAAAACATGCCTTACAGACTGTTCAAACTAGAACTCAAGATCAGGATGAACAAGAAGAAACGCTTTTGAAAAATCCTACATGTATGAGAGTAATTCTCATTTTCGATTATTATTAATATCAAATTTTGTATTCAGAGGTATCCATCTTAGAGAGTACAAACTATTCCGAGAGAATTTTCTGCTTCAACCATCGAACAGATACTAAATCATGTAAGAATGAAATGTTAAAGACTAAATTCAATGAAATATATCTTTAATAGATGAATAAAACATTTAGCATTAATGAAATCATTCAACTCGAAATCTAAGAAAGATATGCAGGAGTAGGTCAATTATAGTGTGTACGATGTTCTGTTTGGTTTGAGTTTCACGTTTACTATCAATCAGATTTAGTTGATGTCATAATATTTATTCCTTAAAATATACTATTCTAACTACATTTACACAATCTTGTTGACTACTGATCGCAGAAAATCTGTTTAGACGGGCTCGAAATTAAAGTCAGCATGAAATAATGTCACTCTACACACCATAAACTGTAACTAACCACTAAATTATGTTGCTGAAGACAGAAAGGATGTACGGGCGTAAAATAACGCTTAAGATATAAACCAATTATGAACAAAAATAACGGTGAAAGATGATTTTTACCAAAGAGAGAAATTCTACGATATGTTTTTATACTATCGGGCTGTACGATATAAAAGCAAGATATCTAATAAAATGTTTACTTACGTCCAAGATGTGCGAAACGATCACAGTTGGCGGTAAGTAAGTCATGACTAATGAGAAAGAATTATAGAATATATTACTCAACTGAGCGTTTAACACGGGATGATTTTGTACGAATTCACATTTCATTAGTAAATCAATTACACTAAACCATATACCCTATAAAAGGAAAAACAAGAAAAATTACTGAACAATGAAATTAAATGATAATTCGAAATGATTTGGGGCTTGGCGAGTTTTTAAGAGATGAAAAGACTTATAAATTGTGTATAGTTTGTACGATGTTGGTTTGGAAGTCAGATGGTCTAATCTCAAACCCTCATTGTCATTATGAACCAAGTCAATGTTATAATGAAGACATCAGCATGTAGTTAATGAACATATAATCACCAATAAGAAAGTACCATCCCGCTTCCAGTGTGAAAGGTAGTTTCAGTTTTCTTAGCATATATTATGTCCCATGTACTGAGAAAAGTCATACTAGTTAGAACTTCAACAGCTCCTACACATTTAACTTAAAAATGATTTTGGTAACCCTGTACGAAGAGTCATGATAAGTGAGGGTGATTTATAATGGTAAACTGAAAAAGAAATACACTAGAACAGATTGCAAAAAACAACAACTCATAAATAATGTTTTAAACTAACATAAGCAATTAAAAACAGTGCACGGGATATGGTCTGTCATCCTGAATTTCACGTTACTACTTTAATTAACAGCGACGAGGTGGTGCTATGTTCACTGAAGGCTGTATCCTATGAGTGCGTCGTCATTTTGGAAAACAGTAGCTCAATCAGTTAGGAATTCTTTCTAATAACAATTCAGATGATTTAAATTCTGTAAGATTAGAACAGCTGAAGATTATTCCAGACCCTCAAATGAAATGCATTTGTTTTAGCATAAATATCATGAAAACACATCTAAACTCACTTCGATTTCTGACTGATCGTTAGTTTGTGCACATCTTCGCTGGCAGAAATTTACAAGACGTTGATTCGCTTGATGAACATTATCATATAGTTTTTGTAACACAGAGTTGATGATAGTTGCCGATTGGTCACCCGAGTTATGAAAGCTGACAGAAGTAAAATCTACAGAGGTTTTTCGAAGCTTACACTCCTCTTTTATTAGTTTTTGCCACGTTTCAGAAAATATCTAAAAAATAAGTGAAGGATTACAGAGCTTTTTCAGTTTAAATATGATAACAGTACTTTATTGCTAGTAGAACTTAATAGTTGTTACGCTAATAAACAGCTTACTTACTGTGATTTGATAATGCCGTAATAAAATCGGTTTCGAACTCAGTATTTACTATTAATTGCCCCTTCCATAACTGTTTAATAGGTACATCTATAGGTCTAATATACGATAAACTTATTGATCATTAGTATCGAATGTAAATTGACAGGCTATTGTAAAATTTAACGTAGTTGAAGAATAAACGGATGGTGGGTTTCTTTACATAATCAAACTATCCAGATTGCATTATTTTGTGCTTATCTTTGGACCAAATTTAGGTTTGTAAACCTAAGGAAACTTCAGCTTACGCATCAGATGATTCAAGGCCATTAGCCTTAAACAGAGTGTATCTGTAAACCATTGCATAAACCCATGTACTCACCGAGCCAGCTTCGATAACGAAAATATCAATAGATGTTATACCACTATAGAACGAAGATTGTCACATAGTTGACTGAAAGTATCAAGCGTTATAGGATGGTGCTTAATACTAGCCCCTGAAAGATCATGAACACTTAGAGTTTATTATGAACTTACGCGACTACCGATGCAAGAAGAATTTACGTGGTATGCTCAGCAAACAGATATGCTGAAACAGCTAATATATGCTTATATCTCTCAATTGTTAACGATGAAGAGAATATAAATAAATATATAAGTATAAGTATATATAATGAGTATAAAGAACCGAAATCAAACCTGTTCATACAACTCTGTAGCTTTGGATAAATCTCCAGACTTTTCATATAGATAAGCAACCTCTATCGGGTACTTTTCCACCGATAAAACCTGAAAAACCAAAGTTTACACAACAGGATTACATACATTTCATTTACTGAAGACAAGACAGAACATAGCATAAGTGGAACTACGTCTGATTTGCCATACCTCACGTTAGTACAGCGACGAGAAATCAACAGGATGAACGTAAAACTAACGAAAACAATGAAGCTAACAATAAAGTGAAAGATGTAAAAGAAGAAGGATGACAAACATACGTTCGAACAATCCTCAAGACCTAGATGAATGCAAAAATAGAGTAGCGTCAATGAGACGACTTTCTCACGGGAATTAGGAAGAAAGTTTGCACATGGCTAGACAATAGTAAGGGTCAAGGACCACATCGACCGATTTCATGTATTTAATTCGACTGGTAAGTTTTAGTTAATTTATTACAACGCTATCAAGCAGAGAATACTGAGGTAGGAAGAGACAAACCATAAATTCATCAACTGATTCCCCACAATTACACTACTACTTACAACTAACATCTGGAACGATTAGTCAAAGGTTTGACTATATTTGTAAATTATTACACGATAGACTGCTGTGAAACATGATCACCGAAATGAAGTTTTCACTCAAGTTCAGTTTCTAAAAGCCACACAGCCACGCGTATACAGCCTCTGCCAGGGAAGTCCTACTCACTGCCTTCTCGTGGCGGGGGTGTTGTTTACGAAAATGAGAGGACGAAAAGCGAATGTCCGGCGCTTTAACCGGATCCCAAACCAATGGTGCACATGGGCTCCAGTATCCTGAGGGAACAAATGGCGTATGAACCACTCGCTGGTCACCGGCTACAATGGGTATGCATCTCCTCACGATGTTCCATTCCCTTGTGGATCAGACCTTTAGGTCAAAGGCTCGGGGAGTGGCCCCCTAAAAAACTACCTGCTTCGGTCTGGGCACCCGGGTAGTATCACAGCCCACACACACAAATATGGTGTGGCGTATATATATTTGGTGCCCTCTTGTACCGATATTTATGTGTTGAAATAATAATAATAATAATAATAATAATAATAATAATAATAATACTAAAAGCCAAACGAGTTTTACTTAAATGCGCTGAAATCTTTTAAACTATATATCAAGCCATCAGAACTGATGAAACTACAAATATAAGTGAGGTGTCCAACTCGCCCAATACTTCCATCATCATCGTCAAATTAATCAACGACGTAGCTCAATCCTAAAGCATTTTTGAATTTAGGGAGTTGGTAACATATGGAAAACATATACTGACAATCATGGTGTTCAAACGATTTTGAATTTTGTCCGCATCCTTACCAAAAAGACTATGGTGTCGACGTGCTCCGTGCCAACCGTCAAATTCCATGGTAAGGAACACTTATATAAGTGAAATCATGATACGAGTTAAAATAGAAACACCAACTGGATAAAAATGAAGCCGATGATGGGTTAACAACACTAGTTAAGGAACTGCTTAAAAGGTTGAGACACAATCCAGCTTTTCTTCACAGGCTACAGCCTTTTGTACCATTACTACTGTAGTATTTGAGATATGGATAATAAGTTAATATTATAAATTACTTGATGGCCAATCGGGTTTCTTCTTCCTACTAGGTATGAGGGATTCACTTTATTTATTGAAGCGGTCATAATGCTTTTGAAACACATAATCTTGATAAGGTCTCGTCAAATGATAATCGGTTGAAATGAATTTGTGAGGGGAAACTTAATAGAATCATATAAAATAAATACTAGAAATCATAATATCCACTTTCCAATTGTTTCTGATCAAATGAGAAAATGCAAGTTTAAACGGAATTTTCTGAACAATATGACAGAAACCTAACATACCAAAAATGCTTTATTTCCTTTTTTAGGATACAATAAAATTCATGAAGGAAACAAAAATGAATTAATATTCTGATTAAAAATAATCAATTGTCAGACAAGCATACCTTCAGTACGTGTTCAATAGCATAGTCGTTGTATGATTCTAAGAAGGTTAACAATTCACCAGAAGATGGAAGCTCAAAATTAACTAGCAAATAAATAAATAATTCTGTTATTTTGGTATCATAGTTCTGAAGGAAATGTTTCCAGTTTTTGGTGGTTGAAGTTGTTTCATCATCTGAATCATCAGGCGTACATTCTTCAGAATTAGTCGTTTGATGATGATTATAAATAACCTTTCTAAAATATTTCGACAAGTAGTTGACATATAAGACAGATGCTACGAAAAGAATTCACATCATTAAATATATAACCTAAAATCAAGTTGTGCATGCAAAACCGTATTCAATTAATTAGCTTTCAATGAGAGATTATATTATATTTAATCGAGATGATTGTACCCAAGTTATTCAGTACACTGAAATGAATAAGAATGTTTCCAACTCGTACGAACAACATATGGCTCAGTTAGTTTTACACAACTTGAAATCTGTGTCAAATTTGCATTGTCATATATATATATATTACCAGTAAGGATAAAAATTGATTGAAGAAATGACTCTAAGGATACAATGATTAAATTTGGTGCACTAGATGACAAGATTTAACGACATTTTACACTGATATTTCGTAATCCACAAACAGTTAGCTCAGTTGAAGTACATGTATCTCTTATTTAGTTTATAAGTTACATTAAGTATTTGAAGGAATAAAAATGAACAAAGGCAAATTATTTTTAAAAATAAACTAATCATCTCTAAAGAACTGTTATATAAAACAAGGAAACAGATGTAACTATAGATCAAATCTTGAGAAACCCAACCAAATATTGAACAACTGAATTCAAAGAATCTGCAGCATAAAAGAAAATGAGCTGTTTAAATTTACAAGTATAATCAAAAGATTAAACTCTGTTATGGTAACATGAGCATTATAATATTTAAAATACATAAATAGTATTTAAATTTACATCGTTCACAGTCAATAGGAGATTTATCGAAGTAATTTAGTGAGTGTAGTAAAACAAGAAAAGTACAAATCAGTAAATATGCATTAAACTAATATTCAGTATTGAATCATACCTAATGTATGTATATGGGATAGTGTTTGTAATTACAAGAGAGTAGTTGAATGCTTGAAACATAGCTTCTCACATAGACATCATGAGGAAAACAAGTCATCTTGTTTAATTCATGTGAAGAATACAGAGAGACGTTTGTTTGGTAACATAATGTAAAGTTGACAAAAGCTACTTGTTTACAATTGTATCGTTACAGTGCTAAATATTTAAAATATGATATTATTGCCATAAGCTATAACAAAGCCCGATATGAATCATTCAGATAAATACTAAATATGAATATATTATGGAAAACGGAATCAATTATGAATAAATTAATTGTAAATTTATTTGTAATGACAGATAGAAAAAAAACTGGATACTGTGTGCTAATTGAATTGTTAATCATTAGTGACCCAAATTACTGCTGGATATATACTACAATCACCGTTTCAGCATTTAATTTCTGAAGAAAAAACGCTATGTTTCAGGCATTTCGTTATGTAGTTAACAAGTGCTGTTTTATAGAGAACTGTAGGATTAGGATTATGAGGAAATTAAGGTTTCTTAACATTCTATCTAATATTGAATCAATAAAATAATTCTCAATGAAACATAAGGTGTGCAAAATACGAAGCGGAATAGTTGTAGATTTTGTTGAATTTATCCTATGATATGATTGTGAAAACAATTATAAGGGAAGTTTGTCATAAGTCAGCTTCTAAGAATGACAAAAATACGCAATTCAGTGATGATAGAGATTATGTCAAAGTGGAAATGATTCAAGAACTTAAATTATACTTACACTAACTTTTGCTTGAATTAGGTATAAGTAAGCAGCTGGAATTATGTTCGATAATGGTTCTTCATATTCATAGTATTATCGTTATATTTTGATAGTCCAATGTCTCAGCAAGGTATTGGGGGGGGGAGTAATTTTATTCACTATCCATTCCTCTTGTTTGATGTCTTTTTATTACATACCGACCTCAATTTACACAGTGATAGCAATATCTAGGCATAAGGTATTATTATAACAAAAACTTCCTAGTTTCTTGAGTGGAAAAATAACTAAATAATATTATGCACTAGATTGTCAAATTTGTTTTACTCGTGAAATGTTATAAATAGTTACTTACCGACACTTGAAAAACGCCCGTAAAATTAAATAAGTTGTATGCTGATTAGATGTTTTTTCCTTGACGTATGAATTGACTAACTCAAGCATTTCTGATATTGATGCATTTGTTAGGCCATATAAGACTTTTAATGTACGTTCTTCGTCCCAGTCAGCAAGTACCTACGTAAATCAGAATGCAGAACTCATTCAGTTAAGGGTCATTATACGAAAAGCGGAAGAACTGTAGAAACCGAATGACATTCTGATACTTTAATGTACATTCATACTGCTTACGAAATCATTATCAAAAATCATATTTTATAATACAGTAATGAGTTAAGATCACCAAGTCAAAGAATCCGATTGACTTAGAAAACATCGATAATATTGAAATAATTGTTCCAAAAAATATGCTGAATCAAGCGACTTCTAAATCCCTTTTCTAAAGGAACGATTCGTAGCTATTTTAAGTACATGTACATGTAGAATTTATAAGTCGCTGATTGTGAACGAAGACAATAGAACCATATTTCGAGACTATTTGATCTTAGTAACGAATTCACAATTCGTAAGCGCATGTACACGTTCAAGTTAAATTGCAGTGTGACAAATTTGTTCCTAATGAATAAAGCGTCGAATTAATTAGTTTTTACAAAATTAGCAGCCACTCAATTGAAGGATACTGCATCTATTTCCCGGCTTACAACATTATTCCTCAGAAAATTAACTATCAATATGGTTTGATTCCGATTATATAAATTGCAGAATTCATTTTATCTAACTTTAGTTACGTTTTATTAAAATACATAAAATATGGAATTCACAGTATTCATTAACGAAAAGAATTACCTCGGCCTGTTCGAAACAAATCAATTTTAGATTATCATAATTTTCGTTATCGACTAGAAACTTTTTGTTAATACGATTAATATTATGCTCCAAACATTGAAAAATGCAACTAGCTAATTTCACTGCATTATGATCTGAATGAATTGATGTATACGTGGAGTTATTACTAACTTTAGCGAGTATAATTCGTTTTAATAACAGTATTTGATACTTTAAAACAAGAAGTTTATTGCCACATGTTTGATGAATGTACTCACACACTTTATATCTACAACGATTATTTTCAAACAAAAAAACGATAAATACAATATGTAATCTTTAATTTTTATGAATAAAGATGATACGGAAGTAAATTTTGCAAAAAAAATGAAATGAATAGTTTAATTGTTTATTTAATTACATATGTATTGTCCAAGTAATAGACATACGCAAACAGGAACAAATTCAATGAACATTAGAAATTTCACAATTATGTAACACACCAACTTAAAATATCAAAATTAGTTAAATCGGATAATTAGAAAATAATTTTGGAATAGGCTCAACTATTCGTAGTCATCATTAGGAAAAATAGAGACGGAATAAAAATGAGAAGTTTTTCTACAGTGTTTACAAGATGACTGATATAAAATTAGGGGTATTGGTAGAGTCGATTTCCTTTTGTGAGTATTGTGGTTAAATCTCATCACTTTGACTGTTGTTTGTTTTTTAAACTATAACTGGCTAGAATTATTAGCTTTATATTTACTAGTCTTAATATAATTAGATGTACATGTTTAGATCAGCAAAAATATAATTCGGTAGTGAGTTGTCAATTCATTGAATCTACCAGTGTAACTGAACTGATTTCGACTCAATTACATGATGGAAGTATATCTGGATTGTATGAAAATGGTAAACTGGACTACTTACAAAAGACATACACACAATCAATTTCACGAGTAGGCGCGAAATCCACTTCATCAGTTATTTGTGGAAAGGTAAGAAAATGTATTTTACGAAGATAGTAAGTATAAATAGAGTACCATATGTCATTCAATAACTGAGCAATACGAAGAACTAATTTGAGTATAGATTTTCAAATATATTATATGGAAATCACCATAAATTTTCACAAGAAAATGTTTAATTATTTCTCAGTGTTCAGAACTAGTGCTACGAATGGCTATTGGATAGAAATTCTACACAATTAAATTTATGAAAATAATCGAGGTTTATCGTGTTTAGTTTTTAACGACTTATTGGCAGATGAAATAATAGGAGGTGAGTATTGAGAAGATACAAACTTATATTTTGTGCAATTAGAACTGGTCAATAGTTCTTTTTAGATCGCAAATGTGCTTAGCTGTTCTTTTTTAAATTCCTGTGTTTTAATTTTTCATACAGCTGTGAATGCAAGAAAACAGGACCAATGCATTAGTTTAAAAAGTTTAATATAATTATATTAGCACTTTCTAAAAGAACACCAAAGTGAGTAATTCACGTGATACAGTAAAAAGTGAACTTACAATCCTTTTTCAGAACTCAAGGTAGCACATTGTTCTAGATGTTTTAATAGGCCTGATTCTATTGATTCAATCACAGCCAATTCGAATTCTGACAGAAGACTTCTACACAATTGATCATTTGAATCGCAAATACCTTTGAATAGCTAGTAACACAAACAAATAAAACGAAATGCGAAATTCACCACAGATAAAACTGTAATGACAATGAGGTGCGGACTATACTTATGATAAGGAGCAACACCGGAAGCCATTTAACAGATACAAATGTAGATATCATAAATAGACTGATGTATAAGTAAAGTGACTATTTTTATTTTCTAAAATATGAAAACTAGATTATATTACATACGAATTTCCTTCATTTGTTTCCAATTCTCATCGACTAACAAAACACACTCATCAAAGAATAATGCTTGATCTTTAGTGAATACAGCCAGATCACTAGTGACCTGCTAAACGAAAAAAGACTTCTGAAGTAGGTACTATTTTGTTTTACCCATCTAAAATTTTATCCACTTGTTTATTTTATATTGGTCGCAAGATACAACATATCTGAGAAAGTTATATGAAAAGCGAGGTAGCTGGATTTCAACAGTTAAATAAAAATAATGCAACAGACGATTGAAATTCTCTACAAAATTAGTCCAGTAATTGTTGTAGAGATTGACATACTTCTATTTCACAGACATCAGTTTTCATAGGAAACAACTTGGATTATTATAATTGTCTATTAGGTCATTACAGAGGAAAAAAACACAAACTATGATATAACAATGAAAAAGAATGTGTTGAAATATACGTCGATAGTGTGGTTAACAAGAATAGGGCATAGAATAGTACAACGTTACGCCGATTCGAATAACTGTACTTTAGAAAGTATAGAAAACTAACGCGTAGAGTGAAAACACATGTCTACTTCTCAAAGACAAACGCATAAAAAGTGAATCACGATGCATTATCGAAAATAGTTTTGACTGATCTAACCTACAACCACTTTTTCATTCAGATTTTTTTCAAATATGACCAGAAGCTCTTTACCTGATTGAGGCAGTCGAAATGGTCAGTCATAATAAATTAATAATAGTACTCTAGTTTAAAAATTTATTTTCATATTTACCATTCTAAAGAAATTCCCCAAATAACAATAAAGTAGAGATTCCAGATATGGCACTGTGATATAAGTCTTAGCGTATTCGTATCGCTGAATGTGTAACAGCATGGTAAAAGGATTTGTTCTGAGTGAAACTTATATTTTAGATGTTGAAAACTTTCACAATAGATAGAAATTCAATTACCAGTGGAAAGTTATATTGTGAGGAAGTTAGATCACCCGAGCTTTTTATTAAATTTACATAATAAAAAAGCTAGATTTCGATTTTAGGCAACAGTTATAAAAAGGCTGTTGAAAGGTGGACATTAGTATCTGAGATAGAGCATAAGTTTCCTATAATTGGTAATTTCTTATAACTGTTAAATGCTAATCAGTATGAGATATATTTACTTGATTTCTGAATATAATTAAGAGAAAATACGGTTAGTCTATTTGTGCTGCTTCACCAAGTGTTCGGAAACTGTTAATCACAATAAAGACAAGAGATTTCCTAAGTTAAGCAACTTGATATTACTTCATGTCAAGTATTATTAGAAATAGAGGCAAAACGCAACATAAAGTAAACAAACACACACCTGATAAATAAGATTATGATCAATTTCGACTTCTTTACTATGAACCATGCTAAACTGACTTATAATGAAGATAAATACACGGCAAGGAATAGATACATCATACGCCAAAAGTTGGCAATTAGATTCTTCCAATTCTTTTGTTTGATACACAGAGTCGGACTGAGAATCTTTATTGAATATAGGTGATGACGATGATCGTGAAAGTGATGTTAGAATAAGACAGTAGTAAAGCTGTTGACATCTTGATTGGCTATTGTAAGAATCATATAAAATTAATGATAACTGGTTAAATACATCGTAGGAAGCTAAAAAAATTCATGACAACAGTACACATACTAATAATTAATTAATCATGAGCAATATTGGGCAAAAACATTTGTGTTAATCCTCAAGGTTACTTGGATTTCAATAATTGTCACCGCTCAATTCAATTTACCTTAGAAGCAGAGGTAAATAATGAATTCTACTTTCTTGATGTCCGATTAAAAAGAATGCCCGAAGCTTTTTTACAGCGATCCATATATAAAAAACCTAATTGGAATGGGCAGTACACTAATTTTCATAGTTGGGTCCCATTGAGTAGAAAGAGGAACTTAATTCACTGTTTATCCTCTAGGATCAAGCGAATCTGTTCCACTGACACAATAGATGAGGAACTAATTCAACTTCGACAAACTCTCACCAGAAACGGTTATCCACCTAGATTTGTCGATAGTAACTTAACACCTAGAATTCATCATGAGAAAGTATCGACAGTACAAAAGAAAACCCTGTTCATGAATATGTAAGGAGACATGGCTACTGAAATCTTAAATAAACGGATTTCAAAATCATTGAATATAACTTTCTACACAGCCAAGCTCCGAACTGTTTTCTCAAGCCGGCCTAATATTCCTGGATGTGTTAAAGATAAACTTTCGCTTTGGGCCACATCAATGTGTATTTATAAATTTACATGCTTATGTAGGGCTCGTTATATAGGCCGAACAAAGCGACCACCTTCCAAACACACCTCAGAACACTATCCGGCTCGGCTTGTAAAAGGAGAATGTAAGACAATCACTAGTTCTATACAGGAGCATTTAATCAACTATGGACATATCACTGTAATCGATCGATAAATACGCTGCTCTCTAATTTTTCCAGTCAAGGACACAACAATTAGCACAGGGTGAAAATCGACCCAAATTAAAGCCATAAGTCATTCTGTAATTGGACGAAATCCAGTCTAATTATTCAACCAATCAGCATCCAGATTGTCGTCACTGTCCTTCGACGACATTGGTCATTAGTCATACAGTAATTTTCATCACAGGTGCTGATTCGAAAAAATGACTCTCCCTTCCGATCGATTACAGCTGCTCTTTGAACGACATTCGGAGTTATTAGTCAAATTCCGCACGCAGCTGCTAAATCACTCATGCTATGAAGACGCGACGGAAGTGGATGGATTGATATCTCAATTACACAGTGAGCTGGAAAATGACAGCAGCCTCCATGAATCCTCGATGAACTGTACTTCAGACGAAACAGTCATCAATGATGCGCCCAGTGGTCCAGTACTTTCTATTCCAGAAACATGCCCGGTAATGGAGTCAAACTCCATCATCCCGGAAACAGCATGTACAGACAGTAGCATATCCAGCTCACGAAAAGATCCTCTTGTTTTGCCAGAAAATGTGTCCCATACATCAAATAATGGTCAGAAATCTAATACAATTTTGATAGATGCTGTTTATTTTAGTGACCTATTATCCACTAATGGAATTTTGAAGAGATCTGATGGAAATGTTTCACAAGAATCAAACCCTAATGACCTCATATTTACTGTCGCTGATCCTCACCGTCTAGTCAGCTCTAGTGGACTCTCTACTCAATGCGGGAAATATGCTTCAAATAGAGTCACACTAACTGTTACTTGGGTATATGAGGACCCAACATTATTTCGAGGGGGAGGATAGACGCGACAAAAATTTAAAATCCGGATCTCCAAAAAAAGGGAGGTGTTATGATATTCAGGAAAATATCCCAAAAATTATCTTGTTAAGCCTAATGCTATCCTTGGACATGAAATGGTATCGTCTTATTGGTCAATATTTATTTAACGTGTCATTTTCCTGCCGGTCAATATCGTACAATGTTATTTTCTATTTTGTGGTACGTTGTGGTCTGCTTGACTGGTATATAAACAAAGTATGTTTGAAATATAATGATTCATATATCCGAGGCTGTGACTTGTATTCTGGACTCAACTGGCTGGGTTAGACAGGGAAGCGGGACCAATCAGAACTATAGGCCGTTCTACGTGTTTATGCGTCTTTGGTCCGATCAGTAATTCGCTACCCCTTAATCCGCAGCATTTTTCACAGTTATAACATTCTTTTTTAAAGTGATCTACAGAGTCAAAGGAAATGGATCGAACGGGTGTCGAATCAATATTCTATGCACTGCTGAGGCATTGGCAATTCATCAACTCAAGCCCGATTTTTGCGTGCAGAAACGATTTGTCCAACCTCTCATCCTTCCTTGGCCCTAATTCCCTAAATGGGTATGTTTCTTGGTATTTTTTTCTGCACTTTCATCTGATCATTATTGAATTTTTTTAATTATTACTTTGCAATTTTAAACTCTAATCAGTTGTTACTATTACGTCATACAAGTTTTCTTGATTATTATTCAGTCTATCATTATGACTTTTGTGTTTGTCGTTTTTCTTCAATATTTGTCAATTGGACTATTATCTGACCCATAAACGATTTTCTTCCTTACCTCTTGATTAGTACGTAACCTCATTTAATAATAAGAGTCTCGAATCCATTTTTGTGATGCAATGTTTTCTATCCTCCTATAGATATGTATTTTCCATATAACTATATATACGAATGTACAGCTTAAGTAAATGATTTCGTCAAAAAAATTCTCATCGCTGAGTTCTCTTTTTCTTATTCAATGACACTATGGGTTATTTTATTTATCTAAAACAGATTATAATAGAAATGATCCCCTCTAATGATTGATATGACTTACTACCACAATTTATATTAATGATGTGATTCAAAAACGAACCATAGATTAATGCACTCAGCTAAACTCTACATGTATTAATACGGCTAGTGATATTACTCACTTAGCTGCTTAAATCAAAATGAGTTTGGACGTTTAACCTCCAGATATATAGTTTAAGCACTTAGTCACTGTTGCCTATTTACTGAAAACCAAATAGGCATAATCAATAGCGTTTATTTCAAAATATATTTAAAAAAATACAATGGAGAATGCTTACCCCAACTGTCCTTTGGCAAAAAATTCATCCGAAGCTGATAAAGTGAGTAAATTGAGAAAGTCTATTGTGTTGTATTTCAGGAGCAGGTGCAAGACAGGATACTTAACATTTTTTAAAAACCTGAGTGGACATTTTACGTTTAGGAAAGATTCACTGAGCATAAGGTTAAAAACCTAGAGGTAGTACACACGAGTAAGTTAGTAATACGAAGGACAAAATAGTTGAACAAAAACTGATTATTATAGGGTAATCAGATAGAGGATAACAGATCAGTTTAAAGTGAAACCTGTATGTCAGTTATGCGTCCCAACTGATAACTATATTAAATTTTTATCAACCATTCAGTGCAAGCATATCAAATAATCTGTATGATAAAGTTGGACAAGAGTCGCTTATCTGAAACCTGGTTAATATTTGTCCCTCCTGGTTTCGATTGTAAAGCAACAAAACGCTAATTCGAATGTCACTTTTTCGAGTGAAAATATGACACAAATGTTCCCTTAAATTTCGTCAATATTTTCTAAATACAACAATTAATAACGTAAAAGAGGATCCCAAAAACACAACTTGATTTAACGTAGATTAGACAACAACGTAAGATTTTAGAAGTAAATTAAACTTAACCTTTAAGGGAATATCTTGATGCAGTGGTGGGGGTAAACGTTGATGACAGAATGATTCGCCTGCAAATGCTGAACGAATTAAGACCAGTAAACAATGTCCACATTTTTCTACTCTGTTACGATCATATTTCTCTATATTATCGAACAGCATTGAGAAAAATCAAATAATAGAATGAAAAAAGAACAGCATAAACTTCAAACGATCTAATGAAAACACACATGTCATAAAGGTGATATGATGAATTTTACGATATGGGAGAAATAAAACGTATAAATAAAATTGCGATAGAGGAAGTGAACCAAACAATTTTAATTAAATGATTGTGTACTTTGCAGATTCTAGATGATATCGTTTAAGATAAGTCATACAATATGAATGCGTGTATTACATATCAGCTCATAAACTTTAAGCATCCAATCACTCTACATCAATCTTCGAAAGTATTTTCATATGAAGTTGGGAATTATAGAATCAAGTAGGTTAGGAGTGAGATGATTCACTCACTGACAGCATAGGATAATCTTTGCAATATATTGAAAACAAAGTGAAAATGAATATGAAGATATCTGAATTCCGCCTTTACCGGCAACATAATGTTGTCCTTACCATGGAGATATGAAGATCATGGGTCGGGTCATAAGTGTATTGTCTAGAATTCCGAAACTAAGACAAAATAAATGCTTATTGTTCCATAATTTCCAAATAATATCAATTTGTGGTCACCTTCAGAATAAACTCAAAAAAACTACTTCACTTGATACTCTTCATTTTTTATAAATTTTCGTTCATGTGGTTCTTGTGACTTTTAACGTTGTTGTACTTTACCTACTTTCATCCAGTTTAGATGTATCGATACGCTTTTGGTCTGGGGTTTTATGTCAATTTTTCGAAAGTCTGTGTTTATATGTGGTAAATATATTCACAATGACAAGTTGAAACAGCAAGGGTATTATGAAAATTTTAGATGTTTATGAAAACTGTCATCTTGTTTAGTTGTGGTTTTCATCATATAATAACACACATAGTGAAAACCGTAGTATATATACCTGTGCGAATGACGACACCGAAATACAAACGCAAAGAATACAAAGTAGTACAACATGGCAAAAACTCATGTCTTAAAACCAATATCATAAAAAAATACTAAACTGTTTTGTATCATGAATCGAAGAAGTGACTGAAATTTACAAATAAATGGATTAAAATAAAGACCTATAGGAAATTTGTATTAGTCCACGTTGCTACATTTCATATCGGCGCACTGTGATAAATGTACAAAGTTGGAGTTAATAATACCATCAGTAGTTTAAAAATAAAGGATGCTGAAAAGGCTAGATTTTATCATTATTCATCATAAAATTGGAATACGGCTTCAGAATAAAACAGGATAACCAACACTGGTAACTTTGTAATATTTAGTCGCGCGGGCCCCAACTAAGTAGTCTGCATCTACCAACATGGCTCAGATCAGAAGTTACTGACTTCAAGCACTGATGCCACGTTTTGGTTTCCCTGCTCCTAACTTTCTTCCAACCATCACCAACATTAGTCAGCATTGCGCGAAGTGGTGATTGATGTTCAGGCATACGTAACACGTGGCCCAACCATCTCATTCGATGAAGATTCACAACCTCATCAACTGATTTACCGTCATTTCGTAATACCATTTGTCTAACCTCACTATTACTTACCTGGTGATCGCAGCAGATACAAGCAATATTTCCAAGACATCTGTGATTGAATACAAGTAACTTACGAGTATCTTCTACTCCTAATGGCCACCTTTTGCGGCCTTAAAGTGAAAAAGAACGAAAGCAATAGAAAAAGTACACACAATACCTGTTTCTTCATTGGAATCGTTCAAACTACTGGTCAGGTATTGTATGAGATCGTTGAAAGGCGTTTCGAAATCCATTAAAATATCTGTGTACAGATGTAAGTAGGCATCGAACAGACTATTGGTCCAGCACAACTTAACAGCCTGTTAAATAGATTTTTTAAAAAACTGGTCAAAACATGTGTGTAAAAATAACTACCAGATTACAGTGACGTTAGTTTAATGAAAGAAATAAAGAATTTCGGAGTTACTAATCACATATTTCAAAATAACCAGTTACTGGGTTGCAACAAATAATTTGTATCGTGTTTAATGTTGGGTGAAACCTTAGAGCTAAGTTTACCATACGGTCATTAAGTTGAGTGACTACATCACGGTGCTGTCTAAATACTGCTTGGATCTGGTTAATTGATTTAAGCGAACCGCAACACCATAAATCCAATGAAAAATGTGTGGATTATTTGCAAATTATACAATACTAATGACAGGGGCGACAATTAAATACTTTATCGATAATCAGAATACAGTTTCAATAAAGCTTTTCTTGGAATGCGTAGTCTTTGATATTTGCTACAAAACTACGATGAAATTTGGTTTTTACCGGAATGAGTGACAGTTACTTTGAAAAGCTTAACATCTCCCAACAAATAGAACTTATTTTACTGCATATGTACTTTATTTCTGTCGAAATCCCGACGATAAGTGTAATTATTTAAAAAGGTATTTAAAGACACTGATGTTGACTCAACTGGTCAATACGGTTAGAATTAATGATATAAATAAGATTTTCAAATGTAACCTAATTATCAGCGTACCAATCACTGACATCGTTTATAAGTGGAAATTTTTTAGAGGAAATGAATTCCAAATAATTGTCCTAAGTGGTACAATAGTAAATTCATTAAGAAAGTAACTGACAAATGACGAATAACGAACAGTCCTTTCTATTATTGCTTACTGTTTAATTCAAAGATATTCATTGTCTCAAATGATAAGAGACGATAAAGGTATAACATTTTATTACTTTATAAGACAGGCTATTTGCCTGAATGTAACTATAAAAATAATTATCAAAAACCCGTAAGGGAAAAATAAGTAATTGTACGGTTATTTCACTGAGGAAACGAAAGTACCAACAAGCATTCGTTAAATGGTGGTAAACATTTACTGTGGCTTCAGTACGTTAAATCTGAACACAACAATTTTCATTTTATCTACAGATTATCAACATTTTGATTAGAAATTTAAACCAACATATTTACAAATACAATAAATATTTGGGAAACGAAAACTTTTTAGTACTTGCGGTCTTGCTTTAATGGTTTAGCCACTTGCTTGCTTGTACTTCTAACATAAGGCAAGTTGAATTCCACATGGTTTGTTTAAATGAATACTACAAATATCTGACTGTTTTTAACTTCAGTTTTTGAATCGCTCATTTATGATTGCCTGGTAAAGTTTTGAGTTTCATAGATATTGTTCCAATTATTAACTAGTGATCAGTAGAGAATGCCATGTAGAATCTGATTACATGTTGCATAAGTCACTGATTAAAGTGGATCAGTACTATCGAACGACTACGTTTGTTGTACCACAATTACAGCTGCAATCTGTCTTTTTATTCCATGGGATAATAACGTGAAAACATAGGTGGTAAACAATAACTTCTGACTTCCACAAGCATAACCATTAAAATCAATGTATAAGTCTAAAATAAACCCAAGGCTTGAAAATCAAACTATTTGTGTCTACAGAAATATTGCAAACCTACAAGTTAAAGATGCATTTAGGAGCAAAATTGATTGCATTAGATTTTAGGGAAATGTTTTGAATTATTTGGTGGTATACAACTTCTTAAATATAAGTTCCATTAAAAAAAAAACAAATCCTAGTTTTGGGAATCCTTATCAACTTACCTTCATGTCGAGATTTAAATCCTCATCTATTTGGAATTACTTTGAATGACTTTCTCTAAAATTTGAAGTTCTACAGGTTTTTCTTATACTGTTTCATATCACGCTTTCATTTTTAATAGACATTCTTTAATTCAACTAGAGAGGTTAGTAGCTCTGTATTTATGCAATGACTGTGATTACCAAAAATTATTCAAGAGACATCACAAACTCACTTTTAAGAATGCATTTAGTTCTCTATTTGCGCTGTGCTGGTGATTGGTGTGGGTTTCGTTGTTCACATTAGTGCGGTGGCTGATTAATCAAAACGTTCGAATTTCATCCACTAAGTTCCTGGTTCGAACTCCGCCCTACCTGCTACAATTTGGACTACCGGGTAGTATTAGCGATTTTCGTACACAAATGCCTAGTGAGTGAATTTATTTGATTGTTTTGAAAATTTATTTTACCTTTTTATGAAGGAAGGATGACTATCAGTAGTACTGGATGGAGGAACTTTGAATATTCATTTATGGTAGTTAAAAGGATTTGTTCTAGATATCAAGAGTATCGCATATACTCAATTATTTTAAGATAGGATGTAACGCAAAGTCGGGGAGATCACCTTGTGATATAACAACTTCCTACTACCATAGTAACTAAACTTAAAAGTTAAAATTAAAAAACTCAAATCTTGCTGTTGAAATAAGGGTGTTAAAATTTACCTTTTTTGCATGGTGTTAGGGAAATCGAACGAATAGAAAAATTGTCAAATTATGGCGAATAACGGAATTAGTGTTCATTACTTTATGGTTTCTTTATAATACAATAGACGAAAAACAAACATAACTACATTAGTATCAGAAGGGGTTTTGTGGAGATTGTAGTAACTGCAATAGTTAAGATCATAAGTCAATTGAAGCTAGACCACCATGGAAAACCTGGAAGCACTGGGCGGCCGTTTCGTCCTAATGTGGGACTCCTCAGCAGTAAGTATCCACGACTGGTACGTCGTGGGTTCAAATCCCGTGAGGCGGGGTCGTGGATGTGCACCGCTGAGGGGTCCCACATTAGGAAGAAACGGCCGTCCAGTGCTTTCAGGTTTTCCATGGTGGTCTAGTTTCAATTGATTCATCATCTTGACTATTGAAACAACTACATTACGCTACACAATAAATAGCTTAAAGTTTTCAAGACGGTAATGGGATTATAAAAATTATTTTGCATGATGACCCCTTCTGAACTCGATGCTGACTTCAATATGTGAAAAAAAGGCTACAATATCTGAACATGTATCAACCGATTATGGCAGTATTTACATGATGTTTTAACTAAATGAGATAACTATTAGCTGAATAAACAAGTTTGATAGGTGAAGATGAGATGTTCTGAAGACTGGACGTTTTAGAATTAAATAAAAGCTTAGGGCAAGATTTTTTCCATCTAAAAACACCCTTCATAACTTGGACCAATACTCGAAACCGTAATCCATCCAAAAAAACAAGTAGAACTAGCTTGATAACGATTAAGTAATAAAGATATCTAGGGAAGGATTTCTAGACTTTGACTTACATAGTTTAGATCCAGGCATGATGGGTGTAAACGAAGAAGACAGATTTCTGTTCTAACTTTTCTATCAATTAAATTATAACTGCACGTCGAGTTCATATCATCTATGTTTGCCTCTAACGCATCATCTTCATGTAAGCACCAATCAATCAATTCTTTGCTCATATCAGGAGGGAGTTGAATGAAAGCCTGCTTGGAATTAATTTCATGTAGAGGTTGAGAACAATTTGTACGTAATTGTTCGAACGGAGGCAATGACTTCAAGATAGAAAATGTAGCATTAAATAAAGCAGATGCTAACTGGGGAAGATTTCGGACAGCTGGATATAATTCTAACCAAATGAATTCACTAAAAAAACACGTAACCAATGGATAAATACATAGACTGAACCCCAGAAAGAGTAATGAGCAATAAAAACAAGAAATATCCAAAAAACGAACTGCTATAAAGAAAATTCATTACTAGTCATTTTAACTAAAAACATTTTATATTTACGTCGGTAGTTATTTTTTAAATTTGAAAATGGGAAATAGAAGTTAAGTCATAATCTCAAATAATGTTGGATTAACTGGACTTTTTAAGTGGGTGTGTAAACCTAAACTACAGTCAGGTACCAAGTAAAGATTCAGTAAGCATGAATTAAATCTATACTGAATTATTGTCCTTGGAAAAGGTTACGAATCTCGATAGTAGCTTAATTAGAGACTGATTTTTGAAAATACTTGGTAGTTTCGAGGATGTCTCGATTGACTTAGCGCAACTTCGAAAATGATGCACAACGGCATCGTCGTTAATTTAACCACCACACTGTAAAACGGAAGACTAGAGAACAAAATAAATGGTATCATCAACTAGTCGATTATTTTAAGTGTAAATTTTTGCAGAAAACAGGAAGCAGAAATAATTGAACGAGGAATGCTAATATCAGGCAACAACCCAGAGCAAATCAGCATGGATTGGTACTGACTCGGTTCACTACAACATACAATATTTTCCCGAAAACTTTTTAGAGGTGAGCTCCCGGTACAATTTTCACATTTAACACAGTAGCGGTTAATCAATACAAAAGAACTAAACATATTTAATAATATTAATTGAGAAGTTCATAATATTTTAAAAATGACTTTATAGTAAGGTAATTTTTATATCTTGAAAACAATCTTTTTTAATTTTGTCAGTAAGTGGTTGTGGACACTGCTGACTTCCACTGAATGATGTGAAAACTGTTCACAGTATTAAGTGGGTATGACCAACAACTCCCTCCTACCTGAACTTGCAATCTTGGCTGACATAGCATTAGTAGATCCAGAGGAAAATAGGGATGGTCAGGTCAAAACGTGCCATCAATCCATGAATTTATCGCTTGTTGCTCTGAATCATGTTGGTAAGTGTTGAATATCCGATTGAAGTCAGAGCATTTATCGTGATCAACGTATCAAGACATCCGGCTGAAAGGCTCAGGATTGATCTCAATAGCACAGATGCATTCACTTTTTATCTTCACTTAGATCTCAAGTTTGAAAATTATTCGAATCTTTTATTTCGTGAACTAACTCTCTCCTTTCCTGTCTTATTTTCTACCCCTAATCCTTTTTGCATTGAAAGATATTACTAATATTTCTACTTTGGTATTTGTCTAAACAATTTTGTCTTACTGTGCTAACGCAGTGTAGCAACATGGACAGATAGGTGTTTGTGCTCGGTTTTACGTTTCTTCACTGACGAGCTCCAAACCCATGGAACAAAAACCCAAAGACTAAAACACAGTCTTTGAATTAGTACACAATTTGTTGCTAGACTATGTAGAAAAAACACTTACGGCTTCTTAATCATGCAAGCTATCCTAAAAATTGATTCAATCACTGAAGACGCCGATATCCAATTATCATTTTCATCATTCTGAGACGATAAAACATGAAGCACCTCGTCATGAAGAATAGTCAGGATTTGATTATACAATAAGGATTCACTGTAATCATTATCTACTGTTTCATTGGAAAAATAAGAAACATTAGTTTGGTTGACAGATGTTAATGATTTTAATGCAGCTTCCATATAATTAAGACCCAATTGAAGTTGTTTACGGCGTAGAAGAAAAATAACACTCTAAAACATAATTTCGTTTGAAGACATAATTTTGAAATAAATTGGAAGAATATTTAGGCAAATATTTATGTTTGAAAATACGCAACATACAATAAATAAAAATATGGAAAATTTGAAGAAAACAATGATTGTATTAAAACCAACAGAATAAATGTCAAGTTATACTTATCTATTTGATGAAATTTTTATTATTTCTTGATTGATATATTGGTGAACGTGAAGTGTAAATATCCATCTTCTCAATAAATTGCAGTTTAACAATATACTCATTTCTATAGTGTTGTACCATAGTCCTAGAATGATTTGCTCTGATAACAACAATGTAGATTGCGTAATATTCGTAATCTGCTTAGTAGAAATGGATTTCCAACGAAATTCATCAACAAACACATGAATGAAATGAAAAGACTGAATGTAACTACCGTCCCGACGAAAGTAATGTTCTCAAAATTACAATTCCTAAATGACTATTGAGGGAGTAACTAAAAGGCTAAGAAATGAGGTGCAGAAAACATTTGCTGCGGCCCAACTGGGTATGGTTTTATCCGTATAGGGTTGGAGAGATTGTTGATTGTTTAATTGGGATCATGAACCGATCAACGTTAAACCAACATTGAATGTGGTTTTCGACAAACGCCCGATGACGAAAACCAACAATAAAGACAGACTGTCTGAATTCGTCACATTTATGTGTATTTACCAAACCAAATACTCCTCTGGAGCAAGTTATACAGAGCGTACAATTTGACAAGGAAGTCATCGAGGTGAGACGACCTTTGAGTGGTGTTAATATGACCTTGGGGATATTCACCTACTTACCAGGGTTAAAGTAGTTATAAACCAGAGAGGAATTAAGATTAGGTATAGAGTTGGACGTTAGAGTTCGGAATTAGAGTTAGTGCTTTCACGAAGTTCTACGTTGTTACTGACTGACTGTTTTCACTACGAACTGATACTAGCCATGATGCCAAAACAGAATTGAATAAGTGAATTTCGCGCCAACATCCAAGACTTGATTTCCTAAATCTGATTGGTCTATACATAAATTATAATCTCGCCCATCATTGCATAGCAGAACACAATCCGTCTTGGTTGAGTAAAGTACAAGTAAGAATGATCAAAAGTTATATTCTCGCTTATTTAGTCGACAAAAAACATCAAGTTGATCTAAATAAAGCTGCTGAGATTATTTACAGTGTTTCAAGTTTACCACATTGTGCCCGACCGAAGCTGCTACCTTGACGCGGTGGTCGGGCTTGCCTATCGTGATGACCCAACTGAGCTATATCGGCTGGAACATATGTTCCTGTAGGTTCTACCATGCCAGGCAGGTCGATTGGAGAACGGTAAGACTAAAAGCAGTAACTCAAGGTCTGAGGGCGAGGTCGAACTGCTGACTGTAGAGGGGTGTGACAGCAGTAAGGTGTTTCCCTCGGACAACCAGCATCTGCAGCGATGCTGCCTTCCCACAAGGAGGGGTGGGGTTAGAAAAGGTCGACCCTAAAAATGTCACACCTCACCTTACCTCACGGATTTCCGTCTCCGGCGGTAAGGCCCTTTGAAGAACGGAGCTAACACATTAAAAACCTTCCAAGAAAAGGCCATGCGCGACCGGTACGATAGGTTAAGAGAATTTATTTTTGTTATTCAGTACAGAAGACAGACTGCAACAATTCTCTGAATGAAGAGTTTCTGATAACAACTTTCGTAGATACGTTCTTGAATCACTATCTTGGAATTTTTGAAATTTAACAGGAGTTATAATAAGAGGAACAGTACCTCTCTGAGAAGATAGGAGGGAGCGCTCTTCTGTATTTATTTTACTAGTCATAATTTGGAATTTAAATTAATGGTACTATCCGGTTTCGCAAACCGAAGTATGTAACTACAAGTCATTCAGACAGATGACCATCCTGGCTATTAAAATAAAAAGCTTCACTAACTAGTACATCATTTTTAAGTTTATTCCCCTGATTTTTAAATTATTTGTAATTTTCATTACAGATAACCGATATGTAACTGAGTATATTGAATTCTATCACAAACAACTATGATCAATCATTACGAAAATTCGTAGTCACCCTGAATAACAGTTATTACTAAGGTTAATCTTTTTATTTAATAACATATTTAGAGCTTGAAAACAACCGAAAAACAATTGAAGGGTATTTTAAACATTTTAAAATATTGCGGACGGATTTAAGTAGAGAAATAACTGCGTTTACCTAATGATTTTTTTTAATCGACATCTACAATGTTAAATTTATTGAAGTAGAAATTGAAGACTGATCATAGAGGATTTGATAATTTAATCAAAGTGATAAACTAATTATAATTATATCACTGTTTTGTGTTCGAAAAAAATTAGTAACACAGTACTTATAACTGGGAATTATAGTAACAAGATGTTGCTTCAAAATAAATGAATTTATCGAGTAATTTCTTTCTTAAAATAGGAGCTAAAGTTTACCTCGTTCCATGTACGTAATGCTATCAGGTACAACCCGGTTTCACCGAGGATCAATAACTGAGATCCATAAGCAGTAATGGAATGCATACAAGCTCGTTCCCCAGCAACAGCCTGCATAAAATGGGATTAATAGAAAACAGATTTGATGAACAAAAAAATATATATATCATATTCGGTTAAAACCTCAGCAAAATGTTTACAAACTTTTATTTGACGAATTTATTTCGCAACACATTACAGTTGTTAAAAAGACTGTTTAATAAGAAAGTAAACGTGAATTCGAAATAAGTAAATAAATATTTTAAATTATGCACCAGATTATAACCAGCACCCATCCCATCGTGAATAAATAGGGCTTGTCCAGTAAGTTTTAAATGATGAATCCAAAATGTACACTAGTTATAAATTTTTTTCAGTAACGTTGCAAGGTAAAACAACTGGAAATGAATTTGCTACCTTTAGAAATTCACTATGCAACTGCTTTTATACAGCATTACGAATGCAAGTTCAAATCTCGATCCCCATAGCTAATCCTTGAGACTGAAAGTAGATTATTAAACGACTATCAGTTAGCCATAATCAATATAGCCATCACAAAATGGCTGTGACACGTAAACTTAAGGGTGAAGCTGCATATAGTTGCTGAATTACGACAAGTTTTTGTGGCAAATACTATTTTTGGGCACAGGCCGGTGTTAGGTCATTAATACGGTAAAAAAAAACTAACCAGAATCACAAGTGACACCAAAAGATATGAAAAATAGGTAAATTATAAAGAAGAAAAGCTGGAAGCTAACATGGTGATATAAAGAGACAAAAAATAGAGTATCTGAACCCATCGCCATGACATATCTTCGCTTGCATGTGAACAACTGTGAGCACATATTCGACTGGGAAAAGGTTCAAATTATGGATAGAAGGCATACTAAGATCACCAGAGAATTTTAGAAATATGGGACTCAGGTCAATCAGCAATTAACAAACACATGAAAATTGATCCACTTTACCAACCAATCAGAAAAATCATGGACAGATAAGGGATTAAGGGTGAGGTCAAAAAAAGATACAACTAAAATAAAGAGGCAGATAATGATAGGTTAGAGGTTACCAATAACTAATCACGATCGAGGTCAACAGGACAAGCTGTGAATCATATATGGAGAAATTCGAATACTTCACTTCTATTTGAAGTTTGTGCTGAAGATGTTATTCAGAAGAACAATGAAAGCTCCATAATTAAACCATCCAGTTTAGAGAACGAAACTCTACCTAAATCAACCACGTAAGCTACAAATATTCATCAAAACTCAACATAATTCGTCATCAATAATGAAGCTATGAAGGGGAAAATAACACAGACAAAAACCTGTCCTGCACTAAACAAAGACGTGTTATAATTACAACATACGTAGGTACGAAAGGCAACAGTAATTCTTGCTCCATTAGCTTCAGTTAGACTATTTCAGATATACGTTTGATGTACAAAAGAAACATAAGATGTCAAAGAAGTATACGCGCGTAATTCCCGTCAAAATCTCAAACGAAGCAAATTAATTTGAACCAAACGAAAAGTTATAACATTTATAACAACTTACAAGAGCTTCACTAATTTTCGGAAACTTAAACAAATCCGAATTAAGACGGAGATGAATATTTGAGATATCAATGGTCTAAAAAAGGATTGCAGGAAATTACACATTGCACGTTATATAGTAAATAATATTAATGAGCTAAAAAATCATTATTCGTGTAATCTAGGGTAGTATTATTGTGGTGTGTGCTACTGATGTTGACAGATATAAGTAATATGCATCATCAATCGAAAGTGAAATGCCTGGAGGTAGAAGGTTAAGAAGACCAAAGAAAAGAGAACGAGAACAAAGAATGATTGGTGTGTAAATGAAAGAACAAGGAATTCTGAGACGACTGACTGACATTTTGCAAATGAAGTATTTACTGTATGGTTCTCTGATTTTACTAAGATGTTCTGTAATTTTGTATTCAAAGACATTCAATTGTCCCAAATTGTGTTCTCGTTCACTACACTTAAACTGATGACAAGTAATAATTGAAGCTAGAATAAAAACCTGGGGAACTTTCACATACAAACTACCAGGAGCGACTAGTTCGATACTCTGTCAAATGATAACTGATCACAAATACACTGTACCCAGTTGTCATGTGAACGCAAGAGAAACAACGGTATTTGGTCACAATCACGGTAGGTAGATAACAGGGTTCTTTTAGCAATATTTCAAAGGAAAGAGATGTCACTTAACCAAATAATAGTGACTGTAGTCCAAAGTAATGCTGTTTATGTTTATTGTTTTTAAGGTATGTTAAAAAAATACGGTGAATTGTCTATTAATTCTGTACACGGAAAAAGAAATAACAATTCTCAGTCTGTTGCTATTATGATGAAAGAGTATATGTACATGAATTTTCTGTGATAATAACAGACTGGTTACTCTCGGTGATTCTTTAAAATCAAGCAATCCGTAAAAAAACTAAACAAGTGGCAAGCTTTCAGAAAAGAAAAGTTCGTAATAACTAACTTTGTATGAGATGACTCGTTTTTGTAAAGTACGTAAAATCTCACTGACAATTCAACCAACGCATCCTGTGGTAAATATTTCTATAGTAGAAAATGGCGAATACATATGTGTCACAGTTATATATTCCATACTCATATTTAATTTGAACCCAAAAAATGAAGTGGTAGCAAAAAAAAGGGATAACCGTCCCTTGTATTTACACAATACTTAGACAAAACTTCACACCAAATAAATAAATAAGAGACTGAGTGAGATGTTTTAAGTAGTAAATCAAAAGGGGCTTCAAAAGAAGTCAGAGAACCTATTTTTAACTTTTGGTAATACATTTAGCACTAAATTGGTGGGATGTAAATGTGGTATGCAGAAACAACGGGATAAGAGTTCCAGCTAAAAACAATTATCTTCACATGTAACTTGTTTATCATACTGAGTTTAAATTTTGTTACAATAAACAATCTTATGTATTCACAACCTATTAAATGAAAAGTAATTCACTGAATTATATTCTATATGCATACAAAGGGATTAGGCTTCCTCAATCTCAAGTTATCAACAACTGTGATCTTTGAAATGAAACACTACTAATAATTTGTAGCTTCCGCACTTCAAAGAAAATAATAAATTATCCAGAGTACAATAACGATAACAATCTACGGAGCATAAATGACAGTAATAGTGTAGTGAACAAGAACACGGGTGGGGACAATCGGATGCATTTAGCACAAAATTACAGACTATCTCAATAAAATCTGAATACCATAAAGTCAATCGTCAATTTGCAAAATATCAATGCATCATATCAAACTGGACTGTTTTCGTTGCAAACACTAATCCATTGTCTCCCATTCCATTGTACATGCGTTTTCTTACAAATTCCATTGTGCTCTCGCTCTTCCTTTCTTGATCTTCACCTCATCTTCTGCTGCCAGATATTACGTTTTAACTCGCGATATATACTACTTATATCAATATAAGTAGCACACACCACAATAGTATTAATGATTATCATTTTTAAAAAAACTGATAAACAAGAGAATAAGGCTTACTTCTAGCATTTCCCCAGTTATACTATTCAACAAATGAAGTTGTTCACATTCATTTACAACGATAAGTTGATTAAAAGAGATCCACTAATAGAAACCAAAAACAAAACAAGAAATGAGAAAAGAAAACCGAAACCGAATAAAACGAAAGCATTAACTAGAAAGTGAAATGTAGAGGTGAACACAAGTATTTTGAACTCTTCATTTAACAACAGGTAGATAGGAACGAAACTTATTTTATACGTGATATATTTTACGGATTAAGGATGAATGTAACACACCGGTCAAATGTGTGACAGATTCATATTCCACTTTTTTATCCAGTATGATCAAGTAACCAAAACAGTGACCTGGTATTTAAGGAATAACCTGAATCAGACCGATTTTCTTGAAATCTATCTAACCACCCATATATATATATATATGAATAAACATTATCAGTTAAACAATTTTAGAAAAATAGACAAACCATATGGTAATCTGCTCAACTACAAACGATCAAATATTATTTACCTTCAGGTTGAGAAAGTTTTGTTCGAAACTAAAAGAATATAACAATTTAAAACCAAGCCGATTCCCGCTATTCTTTGAAGTATTCGAACGTAAGAGGGTGGAACTATCAGGAAAAGGAGAGTCATTTAATCGTAAAGAAGTAACAGAAGTGTTGTCTGACTGGGAAATCTTAGAAACTTGCATAATGTAAACAACTGAACCTCGACCAAAAGCAATAAATGCATTATCAGGAGAATCAGCACTCCAGTACCAATTTAAAAAGGGAAGGAATGCAGGTGGTCCCTGGAATGAATAAAAAAATTGCACTGTATGGTTAAAAAATATAACATAGTCATCTTACTTACAAGTCCATACCACACAACAGAACCATTACTTCTAAATAAAAGCATTCATGTTGAGGATTTAAATACAACCTCACGAAGCTAATAATCTAGCATCATAACAAAAAAATATCCCAACAACTCCATAACAATTTTTGTGACATCAAAAAACAGAAACAAACAAAGGAATACATTGACTAATCTGGGACGACAACAATTGGAGATACTATCTAAGAACTAACTTTCAAAACCTGCCAGTGGGATACTTGAACACGAGGACGCAACTGTACAATGATCAGTTTGGTAAACGAAGCCAGAGCCAGAAGAGCAGAAGAATTTAGGATCGACTGCTTAGCTTCTTTAAGTTGATCATCTAACTGTTTTGAATCGAAATGTCCATTAGTTTTCGACGCATTCAATCCAAGGGCTTCCATTGCACATATTTCTCCATGACTGAGGAAAAACAAATAGAAAATGTCACGTCAGCGTATGTACATTTACCATAGAAATAACCACAATCAGAGGTTTTTTTTACAATAAACCTTAAAGCTGCTCCAACTTATTTCAGATATTAAGTTGATTCGTATTTCTTAGTACTTTGCTGTTACTTTTATGGTTCACTATTATTTCTATAAAGATTGATTTTTCAACAGGGCATTTTCTCCAATAAACTAGAGACATAAAAGGTTAACAGTGTGGACACAGGGCCTTACATGAACAGAATTATGTATTGATTAAAGATTTATAGTTATAACAGTGTGCACTGCTACCAAAAAGATAACTTTGATAGACGTTTTTTAAATAGGGACGAAAATAATGCGAAAAATGAAGCAAATCAGAGAATGTTTCAAATGGATTTGATCAAAAATATTTGTTCATATTCTTTAGACTTAAATCAGTACAAATTATCGATTCCTATTTGTAAAACTTTATATTAACTTTTCGACCACTTAAGAGAACTTTTTATGTGATGTTTACGTGATAACATGTAACTGTAATGAAAATAAAAATAAATTACCTATTTCTAATGAACACTGAAATTCGACAATGAAATGCCGACAAAAAACAATCAGCTAACAAACTGTTACTCAAAAGCTTACCTTCCAGAAAAGAAACATATAGATTCGCCTTTCATACCAACTAAGCCTTGTCTAAAATTAAAAATAATATGCCAATATTCATAAAATATTAACAAAAAATATCGATAACAATCATAGAATGAAGATAACTTTCTCCATAAAATTACTTTGCTTAACAGAATGAGTTCGCCACCAAGTTAATCAGTCAGTCAGAAGCAGGTACATATATTCATCGGTCAAAAGTGCCAGACCTCATTAGCACAACAAGCCGAACACCGAATTCATAGAAGTAGTTAATTCAAAGGTGGTAATATATAAAAGAAAGATTGCAATAAGGATATAGTACAGGAAGAAAGAATTAGTTCGTAGAAAGAAAGATATTAAGCGATTTTAATCTCTTAGTTTAAGGGAAGGCAGAGAATGTATACACCGACGCCATTGTGATCGATTCTGAGCCATGATACCCAGAGTCTCCAACCATTGGTTACGATAGTCGCGCGAACCTCAACCAAGTTGTCTGCATCTACCAACATGGCTCAGATCAGAAGTTACTGACTTCAAGCACTGATGCCACGTTTTGGTTTCTCTGCTCCTAACTTTCTTCCAGCCATCTCGAACACCGGTTAGCATTACATGTCGTGGTAATCGGTGTTCAGGCATACGTAACACGTGGCCCAACCATCTCATTCGATGAAGATTCACAACCTCATCAATCAATTGACCGTCATTCCGTAATACCATTTATCTAACCCCACTATTACTTACCCGGTGATCGCAGCAGATACAAGCAATATTTCCAAGACATCTGTGGTCAAATACTAGTAGCTTACAAGTATCTTCTACTCTTAATAGCCACGTTTCGCAGCCGTTACGTAAAACAGAACGAACTGCTACACAGTACACTCATCCTTCTATTGATAGACGGATACTTCGCATTTCCCATAGGTGACGTAATTTGGCAAAAGCCGAACGAGCTTTTCGAATCCGTGCAGAAATTTCCTCAGACGCCAACCAATTAGGGCTGATCAGACTTTCAAGATAAGTGGAGTTTTTGGTCTATGGACAAATAGAGAAGAAGAAAAAATTATCGAAGCCAGTATTTAAGATGCTACGTCAGTCAAACTAATCCCTCTATGGTTATCACAGGATGGTTTTGACCCCTTTTTATATATCAGGACAATCAGTAATTGCGACCAGTCAGATGAAATCACGTCCAACTCCCAGGTCTTTTTGAATTATTGATCAACCTAATCGCTAAAGCTGGACCACCGTACTTAAAGACCTCTGGAGCCAATCCATCTGGACCAGCTGCTCTTCCTCGTCTCAGATTAACTATAGCCTTTTGAACTTCAATTAGAGTCGAGGGGGCTACTTCAATGTTCCATTCAGACTGTTTGGGAATGGTGGGTAGTCGTAGAGTAACTGAAAGCCGGTTAAACTGCTCCTCAAAGTGCAGCGCCCACCGTTCTAAGCGTCTGGGCTGAGAGCAGATAAGTGTCGTCTTTTTCCGAGATCGTCTCACACATAACTTCCTAATTCGTTTCTTTTATTAGTCTGAAAAGCTGTCTGGTGTTGCCTACAACCGCCACCTTTTCCATCTCTTTTGCTTTCGTTGCCCACCACTGCTCACGGTCGTTCCTTAGACTTATGGTTAATCTAGATTTGATTTGTTTTCGTTTTTTATCGTGTTTAGGGCCTGATGGGGTAAGTTCGCGAGAATCCATCAGTGCAATAGACTTAGTAGAAATACATTGGTTCTTCGTAACCCTTTGGTTTAAATCACTAATAGATGTCACTGCTATTTCCACAGCTGTTCGTTCCAAGCAACATCTGGGTCAGTCTCGTTTTCAGAACTACGTAAATGTGACCTCAGTTGTTCTTGTAATCTACTTTTGACTTCCTCGTCACTGAGTTCGTCTCTAATGGGTCTTCTCGATGTAATTTGCCCGCGTTCAGAGAGACGCAAGCAAACACATGCTCGTATTAGAGCATGATTGGAGTCCAAACGGATATTCCAAAACGAGCGACAGTCTTCTATTGAGCCACTCCAATGATGACTGATGGCAATATGGTCTATTTGAGTCCATCGTTGGTTTGGTGCAGGGGCTCGCTATGTGAAACTATTGTCTGAGCACAGTTGCAGCACCGAGTTAATGGTTATCAGTGAAAATAAGTGGTACTTAGAAATGAACTAAACTGTTAAAGAAAACTGTTCAATAAAAATATCGTATTGTTGTATATTGTTCTTATTTTCTTTACTGCAGAAACAAAGTTTGTGTTGATAGCACAAACTTTGCAACACTCATTGATTATTTATTTCAACACATAAACATTCGTACAAGGAGGCACCAAGCAGATATGCGCTGCACTTCGTCACTTGGTTTGTGTGAGGGCTGTGATACTACCCGAGTGACCAAACCGAAGCAGGCGGTATGCTTAGAGGGCCACTCTGCGAGCCATTGACGTGAAGGTTCAACCCATAAGGCGGTGGAGCAACGTTAAAAGACACAGTTTCATGTAGCCGGTGACTAATAATAGGTTCATACGTCATTGTTCCCTTAGGATCCTGGATCCTATGTGCACCAATGGATCGGAATCAGGATTTTCAAACTCTCCCAGGTGGATCCTCTGTATCCACCAGCCCAGTTAAAGCGCTGAACATTCGCTTTTCGTCTTCTCGATTTCGTAACTAACACGATCTCTGTGAGAAGGTAATGGGTACGACTTCCTTGGAAGTGCCTGTATACACGCTTGGCCATGTGAGGGCATTTTGAGAGAAAGCGGGTCCTCCCAACTCTCGGCCATACTAGGAAATTTGGAGGGACTGTGCAGATTTCGCTCAGACACCAAGCTTATTTAGTTCATAAAACTTAATTTGAGCAGTACAGTGAATATTGTTAGGAACCTAGAGAGAATAGGATGTATGGAAGTTAGATGCATTAGTCACTCAAAACGTAAAGTACGTCGGATCCAGAAAGGTAGAAAAATAATCATATATGAACTCAAATTCATGGAACATCATTTCTAAAATGATTGTGTTTACATCATCCTGGAACTAAATAGACGTTAATCACAACAAATATAGCTTTCAAACTCACGTAAACTTAAGCTGAAACACTGATCCTCCGGTGTCAACACACGCAGCTAGCGAGGAAACAGTAGTAAAACAACAAAGACCGATTGAATGACCAACTCCATGAGCATCGTCGACTATACAGAGGAGACGCCCATAACCACCGTTATTGGAAAAAGAGACTGAACCCCTCTTCTTGGGGGTTAGTGAGACCTCTTGTGGTGCATAGTTGCAATTTAATTGAATAGAGTTAAGACCACCATCGTTTCTCTGTGATGTTTCTGGTATATCTGACTCGTCATCAGGAGCATACTGGCGACCCATTATTGTATCTTGTCCAGATTTCTCAGATAAGACTGAAGCAGGAATTTGCCAAACAGCTATTCTACCACTACTATACGCAGTCATTAATAAAGTTCCATTCGGATTCTGGCTTAAGACAGTTATTGGGCCTTGAGCTTCCCCAGCTTTTGCTTCAGGAGTATTTGGTGGACTTATGTTGCCAAAACAAAGTCTCAAGACTTGATGTAAATCTACATAACAGAAATGAGTAATTGGAGAGTTGAAACATGTAATGACAATGAATATCGGATCAACGGAGTAGAAGCTTGATTAGTTGACATAATGTATAGATCTTCCTCGGTGACAACAAAAAATTGCTAGCGCTATATTTGGTCTAACAAAATAATAAAACTAGGTTTAGGCTTTGGTGTAATATAAAAAACTGATACAAGAAAGCTCGTAAGTTGGAAGACATTGCGTTCAGTTTAGATTGGCATATAACTGCTATCGAAAAACATTAAATACTAATGCCCCTGGACCAATATTAATTGTATTCAAAGAAACAAAAGCAATCTAACATTGGTAAGGTTTAAAAACAGATGAGAAAATAAAGTCCTAACAAAGAAAAGGAGCACGACTAAAAGAATAAAAAATGTCCTATATTTATTTTGGCAATCAAAGAAATAAGCCAAACCTGGTACTAAGCACTCCAGGAGTGTGAAAATTGTGTTCCATTTTAGCAGTATTTTTAATTCACTGAGCAAACAACCAAAAACTTCAAGTAGGTTTATCGGCTTAGTGATAGTTAAACCCATATTGATTAACGATTGTATGCAGGTAAACTATTTGAAAGTTTCTTAACAGTGTAGATGTCTAGGTTTTAATAAACCGAAGCGGGTGATAGTTCTTACAACCGACAAGAAATTTACAAGCAGCTGTAGCAAGAATGAAAAATAGCAACAATATTCATTTACGCAAGTCGAAGTTATTGAAATTAGAGACAACCAGTTGATTGTTGTAAATGACTAAAAAATGGCAGTGCGATAAAACGCATACTGTCAATTAAATTACTAATTTCTGTGTTTTAATAAATCACTACCGCCAGGTAGTTGGAAAAAAAATAGGCAGGAAATCATGGACTTGGTGTTCGCTGGCATTCATTGGAAAGATAAATCTGTTTTTATGGGATAGACGGACTAGAGAAATTCAGAATCGTAATACCTAATAACGTAACCAGAAACATTGCTACTGAGATATCCGGCGATGATCAGTTCATCTGAATTACTAATGAATAGAAGGATGGCGTTGAATACTATCAAGTGGATAATTAGTGTGACAGTTTTAGTTAGACAGTCAGGAGGAACAGTAAAAACAAATATAAATATTTAAAGTAGATTATGTAGCATAATTGCGACTTTAATATTAATTTAATTTTTGTGTGATTTCGATCACTTGCTACTCTTTATTATGAACTTTTAAAATAGGTATAAAGTATCTATACATTATGACTTCTGAACATATAATATAACAGCATTATCCTGCTTCTGTTTGGGCGCTTGGATAGTATTCCAGACCTCACACAAATCGCATGACAAAGGCGCATATATATTTGGTGCCTCCTTGTACCAATGTTTGTGTTTTGGAGTATTATAAAAATGTAATACAAGTGGGACAACGTACGAAAGCAGGAAAACTTGCATGATAGAAATGAATAATGTGAACTTACTGAAAATAAATATGACACCTTTGTTTGTCCCAATCGCTACATACTTGCGAAAAGACTACAGAGAAGCACAAATATATAAGAAAAATAATAAGTTACTCCATTAAGCGTCAAAAAGAAATATAAAAACATGTTTTTTGAAATTACGAATGAAGTATTTATCAACTGACTGTAGTACACCTAAGAACACAATTTTACAGGTGATAAAATGGTCAATGAGTAAACTACATATACGTTTTGCTGACTAAAGGAAAATGAAACTACGAGAGTGGTGGATAACCATTTCATTGATCGATAACATACTAATCTCAATTCGTTGCGTAGGTTTACAGTTAGTAGCATAAGTCGGATGAGAGCATGATTAGAAACAAAACACTACAATTGATTTACAGTAAAAAAATGAACTACTGAATAACGTTTAACTATTATAGTATATCACATAAAGAGAAAATACAGGTAGCAATAAAAGCACGCAACTATGACAAGGCGTAATTATCATATATATAATTATTTCACGTACCATACTTATTATAAATACATGCGAACTACTAAAGCAACTAATCTTTATTATTTATTTATTTGAACACATAAATATTGGTACAAGAATGCGCCAAATATATATGCACCACACAAAACAATGAGAATTTAATGGGAAGGGAAAAAAGGAGAGAATAATAGCGAAGAGATTGATGTAAGGTCAGTCTGCCTGTTTCTATGCATAACTTTTTGATCGACCTTCATATTTGGTGAAATAAATAATAGTTCAAAACTTTTAGACAATAAACGCCAAAACGTATTCATGATCTTGGTTTATCGATATACTTTACGACATTTTTGTGACGAACTACTTTCGAATACAGTTCGTATTTATTTGTAACACCCGTTAGGTGAATTGATCCCCTCAACAATTAAATCACATAAGCAGAAGAATACTTCAAGAGTTTGTTCTTTAAAAACAGAAATTAATACACATATTTCTATGCAGTTAGCACATACCATCAACAAAGATAGATCAAAAATGCAAAACACTGAAAGAAGTCAGGGCTTGACCTACAAGACTAAAAATATACACTCGAGGTGAGCGACACGCTTACCTCCAAATGCTTGGAGATCTTGGCAGAGTGCTGAGCAGAATAAAAATACGCAACTGTTTATTTTCATGGACTTTGTATTACCAGTGAAGGAAAATAACAAAACCTGCCGACAGGAATGAAGCGGCAATCAAGGAAACGTGGTAATTGAAAATTTGAGATGTGACAAGATAATCAAAATCGGACAGAAAAATGATTATATCACTATCACAACTAACTTCCTATATACACTTAAGATTTGATCACGGTCCACTCGTAGCCCTTTAATGAGAAGTCAACGTGTACATTACCTAACCAAGAGTCAATAACTTCATGGACTGGTGTGTTTGACGTATTGGCCATTTTTAATTCATATAGGTGAGCTCTTACACATGAGGGTATGAGTGTAGTAGCATAAGAGCATTCACCAATCGTTAGTTATCTTAGCCCCAAACAGGGTGTGTTTGAACTCTCCTTTCCTTGCATTATTTTTCATCTGATAAATATTGAAAGTACACTGTATCTAACCTCTTGTTATTAGTAAAAACGAGTAACTAGGTTTGCCAACATGAATGGAGTAAAAATGCAAAACCGAGTATAAGAAAAATACTACGGAGCTAAAGACGTCACTATATGGTCGAATACACGAGGAAAATTGGGGAACATATTTAGATTCAGTGTCTAAGGTTTCTAATCAAAAAACCTACAAAATGACATTTTCCATACACTTAGTTGAAATACTGGCTGATATTTGTAGCTAACAATGACAGTGTATTGGATATTTTGAGAAATATATACAATTTGCATGCAACACACAAGCATAATACTTTTGAAGCACCTAATCAATAAAAACATACTCTGCAGCGAAAAACAGAATTGTCGTGTATTCACGAGGCAATAAAATGTTTGTTCGACTATGGGTCATCAAAACCAGTGTAATCATGGAACACTCGGAAATCGGAATTTTCTGTGAACATTAATAATGATAACCTACCACACAGGAGGGGTCGCCTACATGACTTTTAACTGAAGCATTCTTAAGCTGACAGGATACAGAAGACAACATGGCCTTGCGAATAAACACTTGTGATGTGCCCAAATGCTTCGAAGACTGCAGAGAGGCAGGAGAGCATGTTCTGACGGTTGTATTCTCATCTAAAGCAATGAAATTTACAAATCATGGATTTATACCGATGTTAGCTTGAAGTATATCTGCTTCAATATCAGAATCGATCCTGTCTTCTTCTGATATAAAAGAACCTGTCGGACTAGAGAAGGCTGGAGAACTTATGTTTGGTGAAATTTGGTAATAATCCATAGTAACACATTCACTATGAGGGCATACAGAATAACGTTTAGTCTTCGGTAGGTGTGCGTCTAGCCTGAAGACACTTTGTGTGTTAGGGGAGTGCTAGGAGTAATAAACGAGGCTATATGGAAGAGGAAAGAACGAGGGAAAAAGTGAGCCGACGACCCAACAGGTACTTCGAATGGATGAAAACCTGAACTCAGGTGAAACTCACATTTACGACCTTGAGCGGCATTGTTCAAGGTGGTCATTCTACATTTAAAGTTCTTTTAGTTAATTGAGCTTGTGTTAGCTTACATGAATTCGTAGTGTTCGCATAACCTAGTAATCCAGTGATGTCCGGAAATCTAACGAAGGCCAGTTAAAATTGCTTCAAGTGTGTTATCTTTCATTTTTAGATCAAACATTACTTTTGTTTCTGGGTAATTGTCCATTGGTAAGCTGCTGTTATACGGGATTCGTTGAAGATCGTATCACATTCGAAAAACAACGTTATACCAGCGAGTAAAATGACATGTAATCATAAGGGCCGTTCGGTTGCATTGTCAGGAAAATGTCTAGTGCTATTGGTCGAGCAGCGGTAAATAAATCCCCAAAATAAATAGCTCTGTAAGTTTTCAACATTGGATGCTAACCACGCTAGTTTTAATGGACTCACCTAGCTGAAGGCGCTCGGCCGTGCATCCGAACCAGGTCACGAGTGGGAACACCGTGCTCAACAACCCATGCAGTCACTAGCCAGATCAGGTCAGACGATCCTCGATATATTGATAGCCTATCAAATACATCTTCGAAACTCCGCGCTTCTGACTTTTGATTTCACTTGGTGGGTACGATTCCTATTAGAAGGTGTAAATGGTTGAAGCGTTGTCGAACTCAGAATACCTGTGGCATCTTCAGTCGAGCTTCCAGTTCCCGAAATATTTCGACTGCTACGAGTGAACAGTTTAGACGACCGATGCTGAGGAAAGATTACTTGTTTCAAAAAGATTTCCAGAAGAATTTTAGTGGATTTTAATGTTCAAGTATAGTGTGGTTATATCGCTTTATAGGCTACTCACACTCATCATACGTAAGTGGGGAGACAGTAGATCACTGCGAACGAATCCTTGGCACATAGGTAAGAAACCAATTTACTCATTGATACGCAAGTCCGGGCTTCCTTATGATGACGACTTCAATTGTCAAAAAACTTCTGTTGTCATGTACGCCTAATGCGACCGATGATTTAACCTACCTAAGTACTCCCCCACCGTTGGCAAATAGCTGTTTTACCATTCCTGGTTAGAGCTTGTAACACGAAATATGATCAGGTTGGACTTCACACAAACATGTGAAGAACAACTATACCTATCACGCAAGATTTTTTCGCAGAAATCCTCTAGTCGGTAGATACTGGCTCATCAATTAAAGAAGTATGGTCCATATTTAATGGTACGCTCAACTTAGTTACGTCCACATTTATATCATGCTTAGTACTACGTAGACCCAATAACTGCCCTCCATAAATAACTAACGAGGTCAACAAACTTCTCAAGCGAAGGAAAGACCATTGAACTGCGTTTATCTCTACAGGCCCTGAAAAGAACAGACCCATTTACTGTAAGACTAGGAACGCTTGTGTGGGGTTGACAAGTAAGACTAGACCTTCATATGAAAAACAAATGGTTGTGGATCGTAAAAATAATCCTCAAACGTCGTTCTTGTACATAATTAGGCGAACTCAGATGAATGATGTAGTTTCACCACTTCTGGTACAAGAAAATAAGTTGATATTTACGAGGAATTATTCTGAAAGAGCTGAAGGTTTATCAGAGTAATTTAGTAGACTGTTTTCTGTCGACGATGATGAGAGACTAAAAATTAATTATGATGATAGCGGCTTGTCTTGGATCTTGTGATCGTTGAGGAAGGAACTATGTTACGCCTACTTCAACGTCTCAAACCACGTAAGTCCAGTAGTCCTTACGATATTCATACTACTAATATGAAAACCTTGGAAGATGTTATTTTTTAACCTCTGGCCATACTGGTTAATAAGTCTTTGAGGCAGTCCAAACTGCCAAGGGACTAGAAAGACGCAACTATCAGTCCGGTTTGCAATTATCGTTCCACTGGTCCAACCAGTGTAGTCGTCAAACTAATGGAGAAGATTGTTCGGATAGCTAGTGTAAACTATTTGCAATGGCATAATCTTTTATTTAGAAAAAGACATGGTTTTTTGGCAATGTTTTCCGTTCTTGTTGTTGTGATCTAATATCGAATCACAATACACTGTACGATGGTCTTGATATTAATGTCTTATCTTATTCCATCTAAGATTGATAATATGAGAGGAAATTCTAAGAAAACCCAAAAAGCGGGATCAACTCGTTCATATTCGGAGATCCATTTCTTGCTTGGAGAAGCGAATTACTAGGATTCTCTACAAGAAAGTGTGATATCAACACCTAGTGATTCAGTGAAACGTATGGAGCGAACAATGTTGTGTGTCCTACAGTGAACTTCAACTATTTTTATACACACGCCACCATCTGAACTTGTAATAGAGGATGCGAACAACAAACACATTGGTCGTCGACAGTTTGGTCTTCCTCTAATGCGGGACTGCACGTTGGACTGGCCGTTTTCGACAACCGAAAACATTCAAACTAACGCTGATGCTGTTTGGGAGAAATGGCATGGCAGTAAAATGCATACATCACCATTTTGGTGGGGCTTTGTAATCTGAGCTGGATGATTTGGTCGTGGAGCTTTCATCGTTCTTCTGAACGACATCATCAGCACAAACTTCAGATAGAAGTGAGGTGTTTGAATTTCTCCGTATATGTTTCACAGCTTGTTCTGTGCACCTCGATGTTGATTGGTTCTTATTGACCTCAAATTTGTCAACTGCGGACACTCATTCGATTGGAAAAATGTGGAAATCTTAGACAGAGGAAACTCCAAAAACACCAGAGAATTTTCAGAAGCCTGGCACTCAGGTCAATCAGCAATCAACAAGCATATTGAAATCAGTCCAATTTACCAACCAATTAGAAAAATCATGCACAAATATGGGGAAAAAATCAAACCAATGGGAGACACAACCAAAACAAAGAAGCAAACAATGACAAATTTAAGGTCAATAAGAACCAATCAACATCGAGGTGCACAGAACAAGCTGTGAAACACATATGGAGAAATTCGAACGCTTCACTTGTATCTGAAGTTTGTGTTGATGATGTCGTTCAGAAGAACGATGAAAGCTCCACGACCAAACCATCCAGCTCAGAGGACGGAACCCCACCAAAAGAATTCACCTGAGCTACAAATGTTCTCCACCATCTCATACATCACTATTGCTGACATTCATAATTTACACCTCCCTAATAAAAAAACAAATGGATGGATAGTATGTATAAAACAAGATAACATCAGTACATGTACGTCCCTCCCCAAACACATAAAGACCACATTACTGAACAGAACCCGTGGGACATTTACAGAAGTATATATGGTATGACAATACCTCACAGCTTCATCAATATCCATTTTCATGGTAAATGACATTGAAGAGTTGTTTAGTGCCCATATGTGATTAAAGCTTAACTTACTTACTTACTTACTTACGCCTGTAACTCCTTGTGAAGGAGCATAGGCCGCTAACCAGCATTCTCCATCCAACCCTGTCTTGGGCAATCCTTTCTAGCTCCGCCCAGTTGTAATTCATCGTTTTCATATCTGCTTCTATTATCCGACGCAATGTGTTCTTTGGCCTTCCTCTTTTTCGCTTCCCTTCAGGATTCCAAGTTAGGGCTTGCCTCGTGATGCAGTTCGACGATTTGCGTAATGTATGTCCTATCCATTTCCATCGTCTTTTCCTAATTCCTTCTTCAGCTGGAAGTTGGTTTGTTCTCTCCCACAGAAGGCTATTGCTGATGGTATCCGGCCAATGGATGCTGTGTATCTCGCGTAGACAGCTATTTATAAATACTTGTACTTTCCTGATTGTGGTTGTTGTAGTTCTCCAAGTTTCAGCTCCATACAGTAGAACTGCCTTGACGTTCGTATTGAAGATTCTCACTTTGATATTGGTTGAAAGTTGTTTTGAGTTCCATATGTTCTTCAATTGTAGGAATGCGACCCTTGATTTGCCGATCTTCGCCTTTACGTCTGCATCGGATCCTCCTTGTTCATCGATGATGCTTCCTAGGTATGTGAAGGACTCTACATCTTCCAGAGTTTCACAATCAAGTGTGATTGGATTGCTGTTCTCCGCTTTGAATTTGAGGACCTTGGTTTTCCCTTTGTGAATGCTGAGGCCTACTGATGCAGAGACTGCTGCTACACTGGCTGTCTTCATCTGCATCTGTTCGTGTGTACGTGATAGGAGGGTTAGGTCATCTGCGAAGTCCAAATCGTCTAATTGGCTCTGAGCTGTCCATTGTATTCCGTGTTTTCCTTCAGATGTTGAGGTCTTCATAATCCAGTCGACCACCAGGAGAAAAAGGAAGGGAGAGAGTAAACAGCCTTGTCTGACTCCGGTCCTTACTTGGAATGCATCTGTCAGCTGTCCTCCATGCACTACTTTGCACTGTAGTCCGTCGTATGAGTTCCGGATAATATTGACAATCTTCTCAGGAACTCCGTAGTGTCGAAGAAGTTTCCATAATGTCCTCCTATCTACACTGTCGAATGCCTTTTCATAATCAATGAAGTTGATGTATAGTGATGAGTTCCACTCAACTGATTGTTCGACGATGATCCGTAGTGTTGCAATTTGGTCTGTGCACGACCGATCCTTACGGAATCCAGCTGGTTGATCTCGAAGTTGGGCGTCTACTGCATCCTTCATCCGGTTCAGCAACAATCTGTTGAAGACTTTCCCTGGTATTGACAGTAGTGTAATGCCTCTGTAGTTTTCACATTTGCTCAGATCTCCTTTCTTTGGAATCTTGACGAGGTGTCCTTCTTTCCAGTCCATCGGCACTTTTTCCTCCTCCCAAATCTTTTTGAATAGAAGATAAAGCATGCTTGTGGTTGCTTCGATGTCTGATTTCAGTGCTTCAGCTGGTATGTTGTCGGGTCCCGCTCCTTTCCCGTTCTTGATTTGTCTGATGGCCATTCTGATTTCTTCCGTAGTTGGTGGATTGACATCTATAGGAAGATCTATGTGTGCTGCTTCGATGTCCGGTGGATTCGTTGGAGCCGGCCTATTCAGGAGTTCCTCGAAGTATTCTA